GAAAGAAATACAGGTAATGATGTTTAGTCATACCGGTACGGTGAAGTAAAATTACCAAGACAGTATGCAATCACCAAACCAATTCATTATCTTGTCTTTTGAGGTGGTACCTGCACTAATTGCAGGCTGGTCATCCAATACATACAATCAGTCATGTCCACTGGTTGCAAACACATTGCAGCGAGAAAGACGTTGAAAAGAATGCCCCCACCCCCTGAGAACACACAGTGTGTGGCCGTCATGCGCACACATACATGCACCCTCCCCCTCTCCCGCACCCCACTGCAGACAAGCAAACACAGGAGGGGGTCGCTGACCTGATCCTTCTTGCGCGTCAATCTGCTGACCCGGTTCACAGCTGATGCCATGAAATACCAGTTAGGCTGATGGCCAGGCATAGCACTGGCAGCTTGGGAGGACATCTTCTGGAGATTAATGGCAGCCTACAAAACAGCGCAAGCATCAGAAACAGCAAGCAACAGTGAGACGCATGCAGGAGCAGCCCTCATATTTTTTTATAGCACTCGGACACTGAGCCATTAATAAATGTAAAATAGAAGAAAAACACACAGGAACGAGTTACGAAGCAACTATCCACGACTGCAACAAGATAATAAGAAGTCAGAAAGTGCGATGAGAGGGCACAAAACTGACAGGCTACTGAGACATTCAACGACCTGAGACCTAGCTCTAGCACATCTCCAGTGCGCAAACCAACAGCCTTCTAACTTGGAAGAATCACGGTTAGGTGTGTGTGTGTGTGTGTGTGTGTGTGTGTGTGTGTGTGTGTGTGTGTGTGTGTGTGTGATGGTGTGTGTGATGGTGTGTACGTGTGTGTGTATGTGTGTGTGTACGTGTGTACGTGTGTGTGTACGTGTGTGTACGTGTGTGTGTGTGCTGTGTGCAAGGGATAAGGAGGTAAGTATCCTATTACTGTAACATGATAATGCACCAGGAAAGACAGACACACTCGTGCACACACGTATACGTGCACACACACATGCACACACACACACATGCACACACATACACACACACACACACTCTCTCTCTCTCTCTCTCTCTCTCTCTCTCTCTCTCTCTCTCTCTCTCTCTCTCTCTCTCTCTCTCTCTCTCTCTGTGTCTCTCTATCCACTGCAGGCACAGTGCAGTCGGAGCACAATGGTGCAAATCATGCCACTCAAACACATGGTACTTACATCCATCATGACCCAGTCGTCGAGAGGTGTCCATTCTCCTGGTCCAGTGTCCTAAAAACTCAGTAGCAAAGGCAAAGGCACAGGCACATACACACGCACACACACACACAAATACACACACACATATACACACACACGCGTGCACGCACACACACGCGTGCACGCGCACACACACACACACACACACATACACACACACACACACACACACACACACACACATACACACACACATATACACGCGTGAGCGCACACACACACACACACACACACACACACACACACACACACACACACACACACGCACGCACGCACGCACGCACACACACACACAACTTATACCACAATAGTTCAGCAGAAGAAGCAGTAGTATCGCAGGCCACCAGGAACTGGAGTCAAGTAGAGAACAAACACATACATATACGCCGCACAGCCATACTTAAAGAAAGGTATGCATAGTCGACCCATAACCACTGGTTCCAAGACAAAGCAAGCGAACACTGGTGCTTGAGCTCACCGCATACTCAACTCCAACCGACGTTCCACCGCGGATGACGGAGAACGTTCCCTTTGTCTTGGTCTTTGTCTTACGCTTGGTGTCTTTGCGACGGGCATTGAAGCTGTCCAGTGCCTTGCGATGGAACATTGACGTTGGCGGAGCAGTGCTGAACACAGCAACACACACACAACGACATACACACAGCAACACACACACACACACACACACACAGCAAGCGGGCAGGAGAATGGTGAGATTTCAGGGAAATGCACTTGCAATGTTGAGAGAGAGAGAGAGAGAGAGAGAGAGAGAGAGAGAGAGAGAGAGAGAGAGAGAGAGAGAAAAGAGAGAGAGAGAGAGAGAGAGAGGCCATGCAACATAGCTGAGTTGTACATCTACATCTATATTACGGTTTTCAGACAATTTTCGCACACATGCACAGTGACAATCTTCAGACAACTCAAGATTGTGTGACAAGAAATTACAACTAAGTTAAAGTGGGGAGGCTTCCTGCAGTTTCATAAACAGTTAAGAGTAGAGCCCACACACTCTCTTCCATTAACACTGCAATAATTCAACTCATTTCAAAATCGCCTTCATCGGGTTCACAATGATGTGTAAGCTCTCAAGCCAGCATTGATAAAGACCAACTCTCCTGTCAGTAAGAGCCGGGTGTGAGAAGCAGCGCGATAAGAATTCAGTTAATAGCGCTGATATCGACTATGAGTAGACTACAAGATAGCGTCTTCACAGCAGTATCAGTCCTCGCTCGGGATGGCGACAGGGCTAGCAGAAATTGAGGGAGGCTGCGGAGTTCAGAAATTTGGCTCCGAAGATAAACACTAACGCTGGGTGGTCATTGCTGTCATTTGTATCGCCACTCGCTTATTGTCTGATTATCTTGATTTTTGACGCTGAATAATGTGCTTTTTGTTTTGCTTTTACTTTTTTACCTCAGCTGTAGTCCTATCCACTGATAGTCGATATTAGCGCTATTAGCTGAATTCTTATCACGCGGCTTCTCACACCCAGCTCTTACTGACAGGAGAGTTGGCCTTTATCAATGCTGGTTTGAGAGCTTGCACATCATTGTGAACCCGATGAAGGCAATTTGCCGAAACGTTGTAATATTGTGAAATGAGTTGAATTATTGCAGTGTTAATGGAAGAGAGCGTGTGGGCTCTACTCTTAACAAGAAATTACAATACAAGGAAAACCCTACACACACCATCCTCAGAGCAAGCGGTCTATTCGCTGCAAATTAATATTTCCTCAATCAAACTTTCGGCCAGGAGCCATCATCAGGATTGAGGAGAAAAACAAGCGAGGTAGACCTTTATCATGCAACACAGATACAGCTCATTGAAGCAAAGAACTTTGAACAAGCAAGAACAGTTGTGTTGGGAGTGTGTGTGTCCCATATGGTGCAGTGGTATGCGCAGCGTTTCCAATCGAGAGGTTGTGGGTTCGATTCCCGACGATTATGGTCACACACACACGTCTTTCTTCTCTTTCTCAGACTCTTCCTGACTTTTCTTTCATCTTCCTGGGTGGTTACCAACAGCCAGTGCATGTCGGAGTATGTGGTGTGATGTGTGTCCAGGAAAAAAATGAAAAAAGACGTAGGGATTCACTGGCCAGAAAAAAGCCACTTAGCTGTGTGGTGTAGACCAGGCTGAATGGTGGCGGTCAATTCTTTAGCCTTGCAAGCTGTTGAATGGTGCAGTACCAGCACAAGCTGCTATGGCTTCTTCTGTAGCATTGCTATCATCGCCTCTGGCGATGGGCGTCAAATGGTCAGTGGTCAAATGGTGTATGTGTGTATGTTAGCAGCAGTGGTAGCTGGTGCATACCGTGTTGTGTTGGTGACCCCAAGGCGAAGCTTAGTACTGATACTAGGTCGACGACGCTTTGCAAGTGGTTCAAGCTCACCGCGTCTGAAAGCACATGAGGAAACAAAGACAAGAAAAAAGACGGTAGCAGGGACATAATCAGCAGCTTCGACAAGCACCAGCAGCAGCACTATGCAAATCCTACACACAGCACGATTCTGTGGGAAGGCATTGTATACACAATTGTCTGTGAAAAGGTGAAAAAGCATTGCATACTCAGTACACACTGATTCTGTGGACCGACATTGCACACATCATAAAATAGTGGACCAAGGGATATTGTGCAGTTACTCTAAGTTCCATGCATTCTTGTGCAGTTATTACACAAATTTATTACCGTATTTTCCGGGGTATAGGCCGCACTTTTTTCGCTAAAAATCGGACCAAAATCGCCCCTGCGGCTTATACACCGAATATGCTTGCGCGAATGAATGCTTAGCATACATCAGTATGCATGCTGACGTCATGTGACATGTCATTCGACTCAGCTTCGCGCCTGTGTTGCTATCCCGGCACTTTTACTAGTTTTAGTGCGCGGGCTACACCATATGGTACGCGTATACGGGGACTCTATTTTGCGTACTGCAATACACCAACATCTCTGCAGCAACCTGTGGTGCACTAACACTTCATAATCTGATCTAACATGGTATTTAGCTCCATAACCATAATCAATTTGTAGAAAGGCCATTTGTCAATGAGTGTGAAAAATCTTGGTTTGTGGGTGCGGCTTATACTCCGAATACCAACTTTTAGTCAATATTTTGCCTCAAAAAGGGGGGTGCGGCTTATACCCCGGAAAATACGGTATTATCCCTATGTACACACTCATCATGACTGAAGCTAATCAAAGGAGGTGAGGGCGATTATACCCAGCCATGAAGTCCTTTGTGAAAGGCGCCTTCAGATGATTATTCTTTAAAATGTTACATTGCAAAAAAGCAACTCCTAGCATACACAGTCTACGAGCAGGCAGCAGCACGTAACAAACACATAACAGCAGTCTATGAGCAGGCAGCACGTCATAAACACATAACAGCAGTCGTAGCAACAGTACACATACCTTGGCATCTGTACTTCGGGCATGGGTACCTGGAAGTATGGCCAGTTGCTGGCCGGATACACATGATCAGGCTCATCACAGGTAGTAGGCTCACCAAAACATACCACCTTGAATACACATATATACACACATTGACACACCTCAGACCTTATACCATGGTCATCACAGAGGGCAACCGCCAATGTGCACCCTACGCTAGTCTCTGTCTCTCTCCCTCTCTCTCTCTCTCTCTCTCTCTCTCTCTCTCTCTCTCTCTCTCTCTCTCTCTCTCTCTCTCTCTCTGTCTCTGTCTCTGTCTCTGTCTCTGTCTCTGTCTCTGTCTCTGTCTCTGTCTCTCTCTGTCTCTCTCTCTGTCTCTCTCTGTGTCTCTGTCTCTCTCTCTCTGTCTCTCTCTCTCGTCTCTGTCTGTCTGTCTGTCTGTCTCCTCTCTCTTAAAAAAGATAAAGAAGAGTCTAAGACGTTGGTGAGCTGTGTGCATCAAGTCTCAACACTAGGCTAAACATTAAGTAACCGGTAACCGGTATTGAAATAGGAACATTCAGAGGTTGCAAGATGAACCAACTGGCCAGTACTCTACTACTACTAGCCAGCAGGTACAGCTGCTCAGTACTATACTACTACCGTAAAGTACCGCCAGAGCGCCCCACCTTGATTTTACAGCCAGGCAAAGGAAAATCGTATGGCAGAGTGCAACGAAGTTTGTACGATGTGAGAACCTTAGTGTACTAAGGGCACACTTGGCAGGTTTTTGTGTGGAGCTTGTGTCCGCTCGAAGGTACGGATTGACTGCAAAATGTGGAATATGTGTACAAGGTTCATGTCGTATGACCTACAGACAGCAGACCACCTCTACAATACGACCACGAAAGGACGAGATGGTGGGGCGCTCTGGCGGTACTTTACGGTACTAGCCAGCAGGTACAGCTGCTCAGTACTATACTACTACTAGCCAGCAGGTACAGCAGCTCATTTTGTCGTATTCAGACAGCAACGGAACAGCACAACTCATGAGCACTGCTTCACTGCTGCAAACTCACAGGCATCGGTTGGGCATTCTTATCCAAGAACGCCTGTAGAGACACACAAACACAAGGCAGCACAGTGATGCACCTCAATACACAATCACCACATCCTACAAGGATATAACCTCACTGCTCGACACCAGTACATCACAACCATGCCCTACTCAATATCGTGATACAACCCCACTGTTCAACACAACCATGGCCTACTCAATATTGTGATACAACCTCAATGTTCGACACCAGTACACAATGAGCGAGTAACTTAGGTTGTAGTAGCTCTGAGCTTAATGTACGCAATGCACAGAGCACAAAAATGAGCAGAGGCAAGTGAATCTGCGGAATGCTGACTCCGCAGCTTAGCGTCCACTGCATGCCTGGGTATACAAGTAGTTGAAGCAAACCCCAGTAAACCCAGTAAAGCCAGCAAGGGCAATGGCGATACCGTGAAGGACATTCGCACTACCGATAAACTAACGTTACCATTACGTAAGTTTTGCAGCTCTCACCGCGGCACTGAGAAGGGATTTCCCTTTTTCCCAACCTGAGCACTTTTTTACTGCCGGAATGCGGTTACCGTCGCAGCAGCCGCGGCAGTAAAACCTTTCCGCCGGTAATGTGCCAGCAACGCCACGTGATCAAATCACCTTGGAAACTTTCCCAATCGATCACTTTTTATCGGTAGTCCGAACGCGCCCTAAGCCCAGTAAAGGCAGTAAAGCCAGTACATGTACTGTGGTAGAAAGGTGGTTTCCCCTCACCAAATCTCCTTCTCTTGGATAGGTCAGCGGGTAGGTAGATCGCTCGCCATTCCTTCTCTTGCGAGACTTGGCTTCATGGTGTCGCTTCTCCCACTCTACACCACTCGACTGCCACACAGAAACGTGAAAAGGCATGTGGACACACGCACGGGCATGCACAAACGTACATACACACACGCAGGCACACACACACACACACACACACACACACACACACACACACACACACACACACACACACACATTAATAAGTTAGTTACTGAATGAAGATTCGTGAAATAAAACTGATAAAAGGCACAAAGAATCATTCGAAATAATTTTCGTTAACATCTGACAAAAAATCATCAAAAGTGTCCCGAACTACAGTCCTGGCCAAAGACATCTGACACACGTGCGCCAAGGGGTCGGATTTCTTCGCCAACAATGCAAACAGAAGGTGCTTGGAGCAAGACAACAACCACAACATTGGCAGACTTTGCTCGCAAACAGCTGCATGTGACATGCTTTACACAGCAGCTCTACCGACACTGGTGAGTTGAATCAGACCATCACGTTTCCACCATCATCTCCATGGTGCCCTTACCGATACTAGAGCATTGGCAGAAACTTGTCCAGAGGTACGGATTACCCGATTCGCATACTCCTCAACAGACTGAGCCTACAGAGAAGATACCACAATCACACAACCAGACACTGAGCGAGCACAACATAGATAGTGCAGAGCAAATAAATCGGTGCATCTGAGAAATAAACAATATACCCGGTAGTAGAAAAGTGGCACTACAACGTGCAGAAACTGCTGCCAGATTCTGTGTACACTCCGCCTTGCAGAACACACATACGTGAGCACAAGAGAGAGATACAGAGAGAGAGAGAGAGAGAGAGAGAGAGAGAGAGAGAGAGAGAGAGAGAGAGAGAGAGAGAGAGAGAGAGAGAGAGAGAGAGAGAGAGAGAGAGAGAGAGAGAGAGAGAGAGAGAGAGAGAGAGAGAGAGAGAGAGGAGAGAGTCACTGAGTATCTATCAACGTACTGGTCGTAGCGTGAGAGGAGGCACATCAGCTCTTGCACCTGTGGTTGTTGCTGAAGGACGGATACGCCTGTGAGGTACAGCAGCACTAGGTGCAAACAGGACCGGTGTTGAGTCACGACGCAGGCTGCCATGACAATACGACACCCACTGAGAGATGGAAGCACGAGATGAGGAATCAAACGACGACCGTGACTCCAACTCATCCATGGTCTGGTCGGAAAGAAGCCACCCATACACACACGCATACAACATATTAGGGAGGTTTCGCTCTACGTAATTACGTATGAAAATCCGTATGTCGTACGCGCCGGGGAGCGAGGGCAACTTTCATACGTAAATCTCTCTACGGATTTCCGTAGGAAAGCTCTTTCCTACGTTGGGTCCTCCGTAGGACTTTTTGAAATAATTTTCGCTTTTTCCGCATTTTTGTCCATGGCAATATTCAAGCCGCGCGAAACACAAGGACACACACCGTACACCACGTGCAAAATATAATGGAAAACGCGGTTTCGGTTCATGGTGCATACGGTGGGCGCATGCAGCCAACGCGTCTCCAAAGCAACAACGCATGTTTAACAGTCGTGGAGAAATCACGTAGAGCGAAACCCAACAGCTCTGATTTTTACGTATGAAAATTCCGTGCAGTTCATACGTTATTTCCATACGTAATTCCGTAGAGCGAAACCTCCCTAATAGGGAGGTTTCGCTCTACGTAATTCCGTATGAAAATCCGTATGTCGTACGCGCCGGGGAGCGAGGGCAGCTTTCATACGTAAATCTCTCTACGGAATTCCGTAGGAAAGCTCTTTCCTACGTTGGGTCCTCCGTAGGACTTTTTGAAATATTTTTTCGCATTTTCCGCATTTGTCCATGGCAACGTTCAAGCCGCGCGAAACACAAGGTACACACACCGTACACCACGTGCAAAATAAGATGGAAAACGCGGTTTCGGTTCATGGTGCATGCGGTGGGCGCATGCAGCCAACGCGTCTTCAAAGCAACAACGCATGTTTAGCAGTCGTGGATAAATCACGTAGAGCGAAACCCAGCAGCTCTGTTTTTTTACGTATGAAAATTCCGTGCAGTTCCTACGTTATTTTCATACGTAATTCCGTAGAGCGAAACCTCCCTAGTATAGGAAACACAGGCAGAAATTTAAAGAAGTCACCCTGCGGTGAGTCACAGATGCATAGGTCAGAGAACAGGGAGTAAACAGTGCTCCAAAATCACTGTTATCTTGTCCAAAGATGGAATGTAGAATCCTCCAAAGAAACCCAGCAACAACACAGAGAGTGAAAGCAGACGTAAAGTAGAATTACTACGAATGCTGTCGAGAGAAAAAAGCATGGTTAGCTGCTTCTACACAACACAAAGATTGTTGGAAGAATTGATGCTGTCCAGCACAACCATAGAACACACAGAGTCGTAGCTACCTCTTGGACTTCCTCAATAAGAGCACGGTGCTTTTCCGGCAAGTGCTCCTTCTTCGAACTGAGCAGTTGATCCGTGGCTGGTGCTGGAGTTAGCCAAAGTGAAGAGTTTGTGGCGCTGGATGACATACCACTTGTTAGACTTCCGTGCATGATGTCAAGCAAGGATGATGTGTCCTATTAGCACACACACATACATGCACACACACACACATGCACACACATACATGCACACACACATGCACACACACACATACATACACATACATAACAGGGTTACACTCACTGTTAGCCAGAACAAAAGTGAAGGGGGAGGCGGGGATCATCGGACCCAACATTTCGTGATTTTACTGCCATTTTGGCCGCTACTTTCACCGACACCAGTAAGCAACCGACCAACTAATGTACTTCCATCCCATGCATTTATTCACCGGCCACTGGAACCCGCCATTGATATGGTTTTTAGAGGTAAGTGATGATTATGATGCAATGACTCATACTTGGTCCGACTTATTAAAATGTGCGCTTCGCTTCAAAACTCAAGCCTATGTCCAAAGGAGCACCTGTACTAAAAAATCGACCAAGAGACGATAGATAAATAACTACTCTGTCGTTTATTGGCCTGACCTTCTAGTTTTCATCTCTGCTGGTGTCTCAGGGCGCTTCTTCAAGTGCGTCAACCTGCAAAACGTCGACATTTTTTCATCTCCCCCAAGCTACACTGCGCTTCCTTGATTTTTTCACTCCATAGGCACGATTTAGACGATCAACTTCGCCTCCTCCTCGTGCAGTACGACTGCCAGAATGGTGGCTGTAGGTGTTTTCGCCTGACGCTCCCACGACACTTTCAAATGAGGCGAACAAGTAAACCACCACGCATAAAAAAATCACTTCTCATCACCGTGTGCCGCGCGCGTAGAACTACTGAGTCTGATCTGTGTCGACATGACTGTCACACAGTCAGCTGCATCAGACCATGTGTGCTCTTCCCTGCCTGTTTCACGAATCCACTGGCCCCGGAGACTGGCGATCTTGTGACGCATCGCGATCGCGGCTCCGAGGAGTCGGCGAGGACTCCGCACCATTCACCATGTTCACGCACCGTATTCACCCTTTCTGCGCTTCAGATTTCCTGCCAGGTTGCCGCCTGAAAGTCGACCTCAAGGGCGGTTGTTTATATTGATCAACTGCTCGACGATCTCTTCTGTGATCTTGATTCGTCGGCCGCCACATCGTGAATGAATGCGAGAGAGATCAGCACAAACTGGACGGATCGATGCCGGTGCTTTCTGCACGAGTTTCTGGATGACGCGTTTGCTGAACTTGATTCTTCCAAGGAAACAGCGACTGCAGCGATTTCAATCCGCCAGGAAGCACTCGAGAACGATCGCCCAGGAGTTTCTGGTACTCCGTGACAATTCCCCATCGCAGTGGGGTGTTGATTTCAGCACCAGGCCTTCTCTGTGTTTCGCGAGAAGCAACAAGAGTCCTCTGACGACAAAATTTTCACGCAAAATGCTCGAGTCGACTAGGATCTTGAGGCGCTGCCTCCTTTGGGGTTGGAGCCATTTCTTCTTCAACATCACAAATCGACAACTGAAGGATAGTGTTAGGTAGCTGGAAAGTTTGTTCCGTCCTGAGATTATTTGAATTTGTTTGGCTGACGTTCGAAGCGAAACGCACATTTTAATAAGTCGGACCAAGTACAATCCTGTGTTACTACATGTACATGACTGTACATAGTGTGTGTCTTCTCATCATGCATAGAAAATGGGGATGCTCACACTCTGAACGGTGGCGCATGCATTTTGAATGGGGGCGGTCACAAAGTGAAGGAGGGCGCAGCGCCCCGCTATGTCGCTTTGACGAGAACCCTGCACAAGGCACAACTTCTGAACACTTCTACTTGTATTACTTGATTTACTCCACCAACACGTACTGGCTCTCCAACTTACTGGGTCAGATGCAGACAAGTAGGTCACAATCAACACCAGGCTCACACGCAACTTTCAAACGACAATGTGTTGCAACGCACATAATTGGCTATTCAGTACTACAGTAGATATATATCGCAACGCACATATTTGGCTATTCAGTTGATATATACCCCGACTCCATCCCCACACCATGGATTTTGCACGCATAATAAAAAAAACATAGAAATCCCTATTAATTGCTGAGGTGGATATGTTCTTCACCACGATGACAAGACACAGCCGTAAACGAAACTTGCGACACAGTTTCCAATCTCACTTGTGTACAAGGCTCTGCCCTACATGGGTATTGAGCACTCTTCGGACAGTGAAGTACAGCCATAAAAGACATCACAATGAGAAATAACGCCTACCTGTGCCTCTTGTTGGTCCCAACACTTCTTCAGGCCATCGATGACCCACCGCTGGTCAGACTGCCGTAGCAGAGTCTCCTCAACGCTATTCTCTCCAACAAGTCTACACACGACCAGCATTGCCCGCAGCCACAACAGCAGGACAAAGCACACAGACACACACGCATTGAACGGAGCCTCCACGACTAAACATTACAAGCAAATTCACAACTTTTAAGAATAATAATTACTGTTGCACGTCTTTGCAAGACGATAGCACCTTCAATGCATGATGAAACTCCGCAGGCATGCTTACTAGCGATTGTAAGGTAAACACCCCCCCCCCCCCCCCTCCCACAACACACACACACACACATCCACGCGCGTACAACACCCCCCCCCCCCCCCTCCCACAACACACACACACACACATCCACGCGCGTACAACACCCCCCCCCCCCCCCCCCCACACGCACATATGGTGCACGAGTCCAACCCGCACTGTGCATGCATGAATCTGTACATATGTGGTGTACTGCAACTACCCTATGGTGCAAGCCTAAAAACCCGGGTACTAGTAAGGGTACTAGCAAGTCAGCAGTGGGGGCGGGTAGAGCTATATCAACACTTACGTATACGATGCCACATCATGGTGAGCCGCTAAGCGTTGCATCAAGAGTCGCATGTGATGCAGTCGTGTCAAGTTCCACTCAGCATTGTACTGAATGACAATACTGGCAGCCGACGGCAGTGGTAGAGTGCACGCAGCACGCGTGTCCACCAGTAGACATTCTCGATGATTAGTACTGCTGTTGAACATCTCCACAGCAATCTACAGTGCACACACGCACACATATACACAAGCACATACACACACATATGCATACAAACCCACACATACATACACACACACATATGCAGGAAAATCCACGCCCACACATGCCCACACGCACACACATACACACACATAATATGTATGCACACAAAAAAATAAACATGCAAATGAACCCCAAGTATCTCTCTAACTTATTATATGCACACCTGTTTAACATTTCCAACCTCCCTCCAACGGGGTGCTGGAGGAATAGCTAAGGTGGCAGACTACCCAAAAATTCCCTAAAAAATCGAATTTGTAAATTCATATCGAGTGCTACATCAGTTGAAAGAGCATGAATAGCTGCAAAATCTTTGAAAATTTTGTCTCGATCTGATCAGCCGTTCAAGAGTTATGGCTGAAAATGTGCCCTTGCAAGGAAAGATTTTTTTGTTGCACGCTGTCATTTTTTGGCAGCACTGTATTTGAATCTGGGCAGACCATGTGCAACTTGTCGTATCATGGAAACGCGAAAGTGTGCAGAATTTTGCTCCAAGTCCAAAAATCACGTTTTTTTTAGCCGTGCAGCAGGACTTTTGCCAGCACCCTCGTGACGTTGCAGATATGTGGCTTGATTATTGTAGTTGACGTTGATTTAGTGACTTTGGCAAGTTTGAGTCGTGTCAAGAAGTCAGGTAGGATTCAGTACTAGGCAGTAGTGGAACGTGAGTGGTAGTCTTTGCCGATTTTTGAGGGTATCCTGGATTTGGTGTGCAGCGCTGTGGAAATGGCTTGCTGTGGAGGTCCCAGCAGTGGATGTTGTATCAAAGGTACGTCGTATCGTCATTGGAACCGGTATAGGACATGTCCGTGCAATGCGTCCTGCGTTCCTACCAGAGCATGGTGGGTCATTGGTGCTAGGTAAACCATGGGCAGATTCTCTCCGGAGTGGAATTGATTTCGTAAAGAGAAAAGCGACCAAGGCTGCCCGAAAGTTACCGGGCAATTTCCCTGAGCTGAAGAGCGATTTCCACCAGCGTGTAACCCCTATTGTGGAGGAATATAACATTCCTGCCCAGCTTGTGATCAACATGGACGAGACTGGATTGCCCATTGTTCCGGTTTCACAGCAGACTCTAGAAGAGGCAGGATCTCGGCAAGTTCCTGCTTTCAGCCTGGAGGCCAAGAGGCAGATCACAGCTCTATTGGCATGCTCTGCAGCTGGGAATCTCCTTCCTCCTCAACTACTTTACCAAGGAACCACTGACGACCACTGTGATGCAAAGGTTTCTTTCCCGGCCGGCCGTGATGTTTAGCACTCAGAGAGTCATTGGTCAACGGCGCAAGTCCCCAACCAGTAGTATGTACAGACTATTGTCTTATCATGACCATACCGGGAGAAGTGTAAGGTGGAGGACATGAACCATGCGGAAACCCAGAAGTCCTTACTTATCTTAGATATAGATTTACTGCAGGACATAGAGCACAGTGAGTGCTTGCAGCCCTCTGCTGGGTTTTGTGATGGTGCTCATTCCTGGAAACTACACTCAGTCACTGGTCAACTGCAGCCCATAGCACCACCATACTGTAAAACGGGGAATTTTTGGTGGTGTAATATTTTCGGTATTTCCCAAAATCAACGGTTCGGTAGCGCGGAAATTTCGGTGAACCAGTTTTCCGTACTGCAGTCGGCATACATGTACATATATATTTTGGTGCGTTTCATATTAGGGGCCGTCCGTAAATACATGTATTTACTTAGAGACGTCTAAGAGGCGTTTCTTTCTTGACCCACCCACCCCGAAAACGCAGATACCACTCATAATAACCACTATACTATGCACACATACAGTACAGACGACTCCACTTATAACGAACTCGCATATAGCGTATTTCGTGATATAGCGAACCCTTGCCGATGTCCCTGTTTGAACCCATACAAAATTGACCCTTTATAGCGAACAGTCTCCCTAGGCCCTGTCTCCCTGGCCACTCTGCCGTGACCCATGCAGTGCAGTGTAGACTGTAGTGCGTCTCAACGCCTACCTATACTAGCTGTAGCAGTGCTACATCATGTACACGCGCGGTATGGTATGCATGCACTCCGAAATGCCTGTTAGACGTCTCTAAGTAAATACATGTAATTACGGACGGCCCCTTAGGTAAAAATTACCTGTACCGAAGTTACCGAAAATAAATCTCCACCGAAATTTTCCGGTTTTACAGTATCCCATTTTTCTTCCCTAATCCCAATATGGACGTACTTCAGCCTGGCATCTTTGAGCTACTAGAATGTCACTCTGGTGCACTCCATTAGCACAATGTCATACTACCAAGAGTCCATAAACAAGAGTATGCAACTGTGATCTCTTTTCTATGGGCCAGATGCGCGGCGCGCTGCCTTCATTACATTATTCAGCTGCAGTCCGCGCTCTGCGGAAAATCAAACACCGCACTTTCCCTCTGGTTTTTCGTACGGAACTTGGAGTTCACGCGCCAAAATTTAGAGATCGCTTAGGTACTGGAACGATTCGAGCAAAAAAGGATGGGCTCGGACGAGAAATTGTGGGTTTGAGTGCATGCTTTCAGAGCGTGATGGAGGCAAGTTATGTAATGAAGGCAGCGCGACGTACACTGACCCATAACCGCAGTTGCATACTCTTGTTTATGCACTCTTGATACTCCCAGTACCTGACAATTGGTTCTCTTTGTATACATTAATGCACTACACGTTACGTAGTGTTATCATCAAAAGGGTGCTTTAGCAATGAAACACACCCTTGCGATGCAGGTTTCCCTCGATGTAGAGCAAAACCGTTTTACACTCGAGCACAGGGTTGCCTAGCTACCACTAGACCCCATTAAAATGTTGGGTGGATGGCCCCTCTTAACCAGGTGGTGGTAATGGCGTGAGCAGGTTTTGGCCGACTTCTATACATTTCAACAGATGATTGCTGTACACATTTCTACTGTGAAACTGGTGTAGACGAAGAATGCAAACACCTATATACCTACTCCTATATACCTACTGGCAAGCAGCTACTAACCTCTTGCTTGGAGAGTGGTGTTGACTGATGCACCACCAGCACACCAAAGCCAAGCAGGCGCAGATATCTGCTCAAGATATCCAGCATCTCAGGGAAGTGAAGAAACACCAGGACCCTAAAGCAAGCAAGTACACACACACACACGTACACATACGTGCACACACACGTACACACGCACACATACGTACACACACACGCACACACACACACACACACACACACACACACACACACACACACACACACGTTACGTATTTTGCCTGAATCATGTCCTGGAGTCATACCATCAAAAGTGCCATATACCTGCATACACATACACACACGCACACATACACACACGCACACATACACACACACACGCACACATACACACACGCACACACATGCATGCACGCACACACACGCACACACGCACATCACTGCGACATGGAAAGCCATACCGTTTCTGCTCCTTGACTGCTTGCTCCAGGATCTCTCTGAGCTTGAGTAGTTTACCGGCAAATCGACAGTGCCTGGACGGCTTACGAATTGACGATGATAACTCCTCAGCAAGAGCAAGCTGGAATCGCTGCTCCATACTGTCCCTGTCAGGCGATGAAGCTGTGCTTGAGAGATCTAGCCAGTCACAGCCCTGTATTGTACCAGCTGTTGTTGTGGCCTGCTGTATCGGTGCTACCACTTTCGTTGTGGACACCTCGCAGCTGCATGGGCACGTGAAACGAAACAAAACATTAATAAACACATGCACACACAAACACACTCACACACATACACACACACACACATACACACACACACACAACGAGCACACATGCCAGCAACAGCAGTAGCAACAGCAGCAGTAGACACAGAATGAGAACACCAGTGGCTGAGAATCAAACTGTCTTCGCCCAGGAGACATAAAACAGTGGAAAGCAACACAGTACATGTATAGTTGTGTGTGTGTGTGTGTGTGTGTGTGTGTGTGTGTGTGTGTGTGTGTGTGTGTGTGTGTGTGTGTGTGTGCGTGTGTGTGTGAAGGGATTCACTGGCCAGAAAAAGCCACTTCATAGCTGTGTGGTGTAGACCAGGCTGAATAGTGGCGGTCAATTCTTCAGCCTTGCAAGCTGTTGAATGGTGCAATCCCAGCACAAGTTGCTATGGCTTCTGCTGTAGCATTGCTATCATCGCCTCTGGCCATGGGCGTCAAATGGTCAAATGGTGTGTGTGTGTGTGTGAGCGCGCGCGCGCGTGCGCACATGCGTGTGGGAGGAGAAGGGATTCAGTGGCAGGCTGGGATAAACAGTAGAGGGAGGTGTGTGTACTGAAGGGGGTCAGAATGGAGCAGAACAGTGGACGACATTACCTGCGTAACAAGACGTGCTGTCCATCACGCCACCGCTGAGCACAGCTGAGGAGATCTCCGGCATCATGACCAGTGTCAGTGTCAGTGCGCAGTATGTTCTCATTGACAAACATGTGTTCACGTGCTGCTATGGCCTGACGCCCATCAATGAGTGCAAACGGTGAGTGCACCATGACATAGTTGTCCTCCTCGACGCTAGAGTACCAACCACGCGTCCACAAGGCCTTGGAGACACACCGGCGCAGGTCTGCACCATACACAGGGCAGCGATGGCAGCGCTGGCGGCTGACGTGGGCCAGTGTTTGCTGGCACGTCCTGCGCTCCGATACAGACAGGTTAGTTGGACGATCACACGCGTGTGCGACTTCGGCGGATAGATCAACGTTGTTAGCGATGCCGTGGTTGCCATGGTGATTGGCCTCGTGGACAAGAGGCCGTGCACAAGTGGGCAAGCCACGTTGCCGACGTCGCCATGCCAACGGCTTGAGCATGTTGTCCCTGGAGAGGTAGCGGCTGACTAGTAGTTGATAGGAGCGTACGGCCTGCGAGTTGTCCATGTTGGTCATGTATGCACTTGTACACAGCATGCCCAACGATTCCAGTGTGGTATGCTGTTGGATGACAGATTATACGCACAGACATAATGAAGATGGCAGCAACAACAAGAACAAGGAAAGAAGTCAAAACAAGCAACAGTTTCGAGATTGAGTGCAGAAGTTTGCATGGGTACATGCGAGTCTGAACAGTGTATAGGTTTGCATGAGTAGATGCGAGTCTGAACAGTGTATAGGTTTGCTTGAGTAGATGCGAGTCTGAACAGTGTATAGGTTTGCTTGAGTAGATGCGAGTATGAACAGTGTATAGGTTTGCTTGAGTAGATGCGAGTATGAACAGTGTATAGGTTTGCATGAGTAGATGAAAGCGTAACTAATCATGCAACTGTCACACACAAGGCTGTGCTACATGGGCCAGCATGCAGCGGACACGGGGAACTGGCATCGAACGAATAAGACAAGAGTGCCGAGCATAGAGTGTTCCCAATCCTTCACTCAAGCTGCTACCACGGTCGAAATATCATGTTCTGTTGATAACAAGTTGCTCTCCGGGTGCCACCGGCAAAAACATGAGAAAGCCAAAGGGAAACAAAATAATAAAGTTCAAGGTTTGCGTGAGATCCAGTCGAACTGAATTGTCCCCTACCATAGGAATGCCACCACCCACAGATATCAGGGTGCAGATGCACCTCCAACATCAGTGGTGGGGGAACTAGGCTAACGGCATACACACCATACCGGAGTGCTTGGCTGAGCACAAGGCTGTGCAGAACTCACCAAGTCGTGAGAGGGGGAGTGCTTCAGCATCAGCCTTGGAGCAGATGAAGGTTGAGAGCATGGCTGAGGGCATGGCAGTGCTTGCAGGCATACCGGCTGTGCAACCTCGCCAGGACCAGAGTCTGATAACAACAGGTCTGGGTGGCTAGAAATCTACACAGGAATATACCAGCACGTACACACACATACATACACACATACACACACGTACACACACACATATACACACACACACGCACACACACACACACGCACGCACACACACACACACACGCACACACACGCACACACACGCACACACACACACACACACACACACACACACACACACACACACACACACACACACACACACACACACACATACACACACCATGTACCATGTATATGCCGGTCGCAAGAGAAGCACGCAAATCTGCAAATGCACAGGGTGTGCACTGATAGCGGATCTGATTCTGAATGAAACAGATCAAGACTTGCGCCAGATAATTGTCTAATCCACACAACTGGCGAAGCCATGTGAATCGACCCCCAATGCCCACCTGACCTACACCCATTGAGTACATCGGAAAAGAACGACCAAAACAGTTACAGTTACCTATGCACACCCTACCCTTCCTTGGGTATCCAGTATAGACAGCACGCTGCTTTGATAAAAGCAGACACTAGATGCACTGGTACCTTGAAGTAAAATAGGAGTTAGTTTACCAACCAGCCTCGGCAACTGAGTACATGTAACCCAGGGCCAACAGACACATCAACAACCTCAGTCATGAAAGCTATTATAGTACCGACACACTGGATTGTGGAGCCGAAACTAGTCCAACTTCCGAATGCTTTGGCAAGAAGGTAGCCTCCCGACACACCATGTACCATGTACCATGTATACGCCCGTCGCAAGAGAAGCACGCAAAGCTGCAAATGCACTGGATGTGCACCCACAGATTTTCTCTTATAGCAACGATAGCGAACAAGATCTGAATGAGACAGATCAAGACTTGCGCCAGATAACTGTCTAATCCACACCTCTGGCGAAGCCATGTGAATCGACCACCAATGCACACCTGGTCTACACCACACGGAGTACATCGGCATAAAACGGCCAAGACAGTTACCTATGCACACCCTACACTTGCTGGGGTAACCAGTTGAAGTAGAGTAACCCTCTTGCGCATGTTGTACGTAATGTAATGATTGATACGTACTTTCGATATTGATTTCGCTGGTGCACACGTTGGTGCAGTGCTGGTACACGCGCTGGTGCACGCGCTGATGCACGCGCTGGTGCAGCCAGTTGTTTTCCGTTGTACGTGATGCAGCTTGTTGAGGAGAAGGGTTTTCAATATCTTGTGTTCAGTTCTTCTTGCTTCTGGCCTGGTCGAGGTCGTGCTTTTTTCTTCTGTAAACTTCTTGTGCATTTTGGAATTGAAATTAATAATTATAGTCCAACTTATATCCTTGCGCTGGTCTGGTGGTGGATAATTCCACAACACAGTATAGACAGCACGCTGCTTTGATAGAAGCAGACACTAGATGCACTGGTACCTTGAAGTGAAATTGGAGTTACTTTACCAACCAGCCTCGGCTACTGAGTACTGGGAACCTAGAGCCAACAGACATACCAACAACCTCAGTCATGAAAGCTATTATAGTAACGACACACTGGATTGTGGAGCCGAAACTAGTCCAACTTCCGAATGCTTTGGCAAGAAGGCAGCCTCCCGACACACACAAACACACACACACACACACGCACACAGTCAACCCGTACCTTGACAAAATCATAGACAGCCGGTAGCAAGTCGCGTAGGCTGCTAGGTGGTGGCCTATCACTGCAACACAACGGAGCAAAAGCAAACCAGCAAACCAGCACACCAGCGAGTGAGCACGCAAGTAGGCACCAGACACACAGACTGAGACCAACACACACAGCTAGCACATTACGTACAGTGGCAACACATCAAAGCTTGAGAATCCGGCTGGGGTTACACAGCCCATGCAGTGTGCAGTGTCCCACAGCAGTTTTAGCCCAAAGTCAATCCAAAACAGTACATGAGTGCTGATCTCAGTATAATTTAACCAACATAAAATGGCAGAACAGAAGTTCACATGCATCACTTGGTGTGCATATACATGTACCGGTACTCACCCACAGCTACATACAAGAGTAGACTGGAGTAGTGAGTGTATGGAGCAGAGACACACCCACACCCTGGTTCAGGACATCAGCTTTGCACTTTGGGTCAGACTTCGCTTAGTGCAACTGTATCCCCCCAACACACACACACACCTCCCCGACTAGCACCGCAGCCCGCTGTGCACTCTGATCACTCTGTCCACAGTAGAGCCATACACCTACCTCCATGTTTTGAAGGCGTGGGTGTAGAGACGTGACTGCAGATCCGTCATTGGACACGATACGGTGGTGTGCTGCGGTCGGCATCCCGTTGGCCATACCGATGTAAAGCCACGCTGAATAGCAAACGGTGAGATGACCTAAAGGAAACACAACCAACCAGCCAGCCAGCCAGCCAAGAGCATTGGTTACACTAGCATCCCCAATAATGTCTAGTCTTGGTCTCAGTTTTCCAAGTTTGCATGGCAGTACAGTGCAGATGTCCCAAAGTTAGTTCCACGATAACTTCCACAAACACCCAAAGAACATAATGTCTTTTTCAAAAAAAAGAAAGAAAGAAGAAGAACACAACAACAGCAACAGCAGGACATGGAATCAAACACTGCTATGAGAAAACCCCATAGCAGCTAGAAAAAGGGCAATTAGCACAAGTTCTCCTCCCGGAGACACGTGCTCAGTTTATGGTGTAAGGTCGTTGCATCCAATCTCCACTTTACCTGGACTGTAGTTACCGAGCTGTGCAAACTTGGAAAGATGAGACCTAGAATAGGAGACTGGCATTAACTTGTGCTAATTACTCTGGTCTTTCAACCTCAGCAAGGAGACTGGCACTAACTTGTGCTAATATTATATTCTGGTCTTTCAACCTCAGCAAGGAGACTGGCACTAACTTGTGCTAATATTATATTCTGGTCTTTCAACCTCAGCAAGGAGACTGGCATTAACTTTTGCTAATTACTCAGGTCTTTCAACCTAAGCAAGGAGACTGGCACTAACTTGTGCTAATATTATTCTCTGGTCTTTCAACCTCAGCAAGGAGACTGGCACTAATGACCGTAGGAATAAGTAAACAAATGCAAGAATCTCCGGAATGCCCAGCAGTTTTCAAGCAACCAAACGGCAGAAAATTGAGTGGACATGCCTTGGCAACAGTAGAAACAATAACGAACACAACAAATGGACCTTGGCCTCAAAAATCAAACACATGAAACACGCACGCACGCACGCACACACACACACACACACACACACACACACACACACACACACACCGGTATACTGGAAAACGAGATGGCCAATCTTACGTTTAGCAGCTCGGCTCTCTCCTGCCGACTAGTAGGAGCTGACACAGCGGCCGCAGCAGAAGCATTCGATGATTCTGCTTCTGCAGTTGTTTCCCCGGCTGTCTTTACTTGCCCGCTTGCCACAGATGCTGTGGCTGATGGTATAGAGGCGCCGGCGGATGTGGTAGATGCTGTTAGCGTTGCTGTACGTGCTGCAGCTAACAACCGGTGTGTGATACACTCTCGGACAAACGCCGGGCTAGAGAAGACTTCTGGCATGAGGAGGTACGGGATGGCGGAGAGTGTGCGCGTTGACACTACTCCCTCACTGCAGCCAGTGCCAGCGCCATTGGGGCTGTCAAACAGGTCCGACCGAAGGCGTACTATACGGTGCTGCACCTGAAGATGGGCCAAACTCATCAGCCCACACGATGACAGTGATCCAATAGATTCTGACAACTGTAACACATATACAGGACAAGCACGCACAGACAATGCAAATACCAACGTACAGTCAGGCATGCACACCGACCGACAGACAGGAAGACAAAGATATAAACCATTACATCGTAATAGGCTATCCAAAACAACACTGCACACGAGGACCTACATGTATTAGGATAATATTTTTCGTCAAGAATTTCTTCCGGCGTTTACCATAGTCTCATTACTCAGGGCCGTCGGAAACAGTTTTTGATTGGCCCGGCAACATGGGCCTTCATACTTGTACTTTGTCTTACTGTATGATAGATATGGTGGACACACACGCCCTCCACAGTAGTAAACACGCATTGGTAGCCGAAACGTTGGTCCGGTGATAAACTGATAACCTAACCAACGGGACCGGTTCCGGCGGGCCTGTTACTAATATACCGTTAAGTCTTGTATAAAAGCCGCACTTGAATAGAAGCCGCAATTTTGGGCCCATCAAATCACACATAAGCCTGGTTTTAGTGTTGACATACATAGAAATACCTGTCTCGTATAGAAGCCTGCAAAATTTCACCAAGAAAGTCATAGAAGCCGCGGCCTTTATACAAGACTTTACGGTACATGTTATTGTAGGAGTGGCTGGGTTAATAAGACAAGCGGATCTCCAACACCATGAACAGCAGGGAGTTGTAGTATTTAGTAAGACGGCACAGCACCATAGTACCCAACATGACACGTGTTTCGACCTTGGATAGCAACAATACAGCAACCGTATTCCCCCAATTATAAGTCACACCCCCACTTTCTGGTTTGAGCTATTACGGTCTCAATATATTCACATAAGTGAGAAGTCATGCTCGATTGTAAGTCGCATCTCCTTCTTTGCTGGAGAAGTTTAATGTGTAAAAAGGCGTGACTTGTATTCGGGGAAATACGGTAGCCAGTCACTCTGTCACGTGTTTGCCCACATTGTTTCGGACAAACTCACGCGGCGCTCTGAATTTGCGCCAAGAAAGTATACGGTACCACTAATGTCATTTTATCCACACTTCACTGTACAGCTCAAACAGTAGAACCTCTCTTATCCACACTTCACTGTACAGCTCACACAGTAGAACCTCTCTTATCCACACTTCACTGCAAAGCTCACAAAGTAGAACCTCTCTTATCCATACTTCACTGTAGAGCTCACACAGTAGAACCTCTCTTATCCACACTTCACTGTACAGCTCACACAGTAGAACCTCTCTTATCCACACTTCACTGTAGAGCTCACACAGTAGAACCTCTCTTATCCACACTCGTATCCGGCCTCCCGTATCCGGACACCTCCCTAAACTGGGAACCCAGCAGGCAGGAGGTACCCATGGTCAAATCTTCAATGATTCCACAGAGTATGCCTGTGAATGGCATTGATCTCGGTTCAATCAGCCAATTTGAATAGAACGCTGTGTCACACGGTGGTGTATTTCACTGTCCAGGCACCCAAGTAAGAGAGGCTATTACTGTAATGGAAGCATATTATTATCCAAACTAACCTGATCAAGATAAAGACACTGCCAATGCCAGCAGCGCAGCGCGGCATCACTGGTCACAATGCTATAGGAAGTCAGGCACACGTGCAGCGTATTGCATCCTCTCCAATTCTGTAACACAGCACAACGGCACGGCAAATAGAGACAAACACGGGAAAACAACACAGGATATGCATTACATGTAAACACAGGAAATGCATTACGTGTATTAAAGATGAGAACTACTGACACCTGGGTCAGATCCATACCTGCCAGCCTTTGCAAACCTGAGATCGGGACAATGACATACCTCCGTATGAAAACAAGTATACAAATGTAGCTGTGAGGCATGTGACAAATGCACTTCTGCGTGCATAGTACCACCCTCGATATCAGGACGATACCGGCCAAATCGGGATGGTTGGTAGGTATGCAGACCCTACTGAGATTCCAACCTAGACCAGACTCTGCTCCAATCCGGGTTAGACCCCCCCCCCCCCCCCCTGGGCCCCAACCCCTCTCCCCCGGGCCCCAACTCCCCCTCCCCCAGGCCCCAACCAGTGCTTGCCACTCCATACAAAGTCTGTAGAATGATGACACAATCGCATAACCTCTATGCACTACAGAGTAGAGTAGAGCTTGCGGTGCTGCACTAACATAACCTCTATGCACTAGAGAGTAGAGACTAGCTGCGGTGCTGCACTAACATAACCTCTATGCACTAGAGAGTAGAGAGTAGCAGCTTGTGGTGTGGAACACTAACCTCACGCATCAGGCTCTTGGCCTCCTCGTCACCACAGTACACGGAGAGTTTGAACGCTGGACAGTGCATGTGCAACAGGCGCTGCCAAGATGGCATTCTCGCAGCTGGCACAACGATGAGATGTGGTCCCCAGGTGCAGTCGCTCGCCAGCTTAGACAAGAAGGCAATGATCTGCAGGCGAGAGCCGAGGCTCATCTCATCCGCCAGGACAATAGGACAGGAGGCCTTGTGCATAAGATTCATGCACTGGATGGCCTGCATCTGATAATGATGTAGCTTTATGCTGCGCAACAGTGGCAAGGCTTTGCAAGACGCCTGCATAAAAACAACACAAACACCCAACGGGGACGACAAGAAACACAACAAACACAAGGCTAAGGAATCTGATGCATCGTAGCAAGAGTACATGAAAACAAGAGGACGCAACTCGAATGGGCTACCGATATGGCTGAATTCTTGGATTATATCATTTGAGTGATACAGTGCATGCATGCAGGATTCAAGCAGGTCTCCTGCTGCACAACTGCAGCTCAGGTGTACGCACTACGCCACTCCCCGCCGCATATGTGCACCAACTATTATATAATCCAGGAATTTCGCCGTGATAGACACCCATGCAGAAAAAGTCAGAAGCCGCTGCCTGCATATTATGAGTTTCACGTACTCTTGACCATAGTAGGATTTCTAGCTTTGCCAATCAATCATTGACCAGCTACATAATACAGCCCAGTCAATCATCAACCAGCTACATAATACAGCCCAGTCAATCATCAACCAGCAACACAATGCACTGTTCTACGTAGACAGAACATTCAATTGACACGTGGGTGCAAAGCCAACCCACCCAACACCGGATCAGCTTGGCCAGTGCTGGCTACTACTACTGGGTATAGAAACGGGAAATGTACACGCATGCTGGTCCAAAACCGATTTCCGGCCAAATTAGGATTGTGTTTCACGTTTTAATCCAGCCTCACTTGGGTTTAAAGAAGGTCAGAGGTTAACCATCTCTGAATGGGAAGTACAGTGTATTTCAAGATAGTACAAGGCACAGACTGTCAACATCACACGATACTCATTCGTGAGCGCAAGTAAAAATAATTGTAGTGCCATTGAGGTTTGCGGCACTGCCAGTGGCGGCGTTGGTGGCGCATCCACAGGATCCCACAAGACCAATACTTAGTAGTACTACGTAGTACTCTTCAGGGAGGTTGAACACGCTACGGTATTGACCATACCACTATTTGTTCTGGGCTACGTGATCTACCCTGTGAATCAATAAAGGGCACTGATTTCGGCTCTAAATTCGGAAACATTTCAGAGAAGCCACCCCATCTCCATGAGTAATTATTTGTACTTCATGTATCTGACAGTACCACCCTAAAATACCTTCCCACGCCCCTGCTAGTCTTGCTAGTACTAGTAGTAGTAAATACCTTCCCACGCCCCTGCTAGTCTTGCTAGTACTAGTAGTAGTAAATACCTTCCCACGCCCCTGCTAGTCTTGCTAGTACTAGTAGTAGTAAATACCTTCCCACACCCCTGCTAGTCTTGCTAGTACTAGTAGTAGTAAATACCTTCCCACGCCCCTGCTAGTCTTGCTAGTACTAGTAGTAGTAAATACCTTCCCACGCCCCTGCTAGTCTTGCTAGTACTAGTAGTAGTAAATACCTTCCCACACCCCTGCTAGTCTTGCTAGTACTAGTAGTAGTAAATACCTTCCCACGCCCCTGCTAGTCTTGCTAGTACTAGTAGTAGTAAATACCTTCCCACGCCCCTGCTAGTCTTGCTAGTACTAGTAGTAACTAAGAAGTAAGAACAGCTCATATTGACAGTTCCCTACCTGCTTAGCATTTCCATCCTGTAAAACCTTCTCAATGATGTCGGTGGCTGGCTTTGCAAGCTCTGCAACTTGATCCAGAGCCTTCTCAAACACCTTGATGTCAGCCTTCACATCAAACTCATCCACCTACACACAAGAAACCAGGAGAGAAATCAAGAAGTGAAGAGCTGGAGAATATACTAAAAGTACAGGCACACTATTTTTGAAGCTAGAAATAATTATAGTGTTGGCTATCCTCCACGGTCATCAGCATGGACAGAGACCGGCACTGGGCCTCCTTTGCTCAGTGTTGGTCATAGGTGGGGTTTTTCTTCACATCAAATAATTCGATGGACTTCTCGTGTGCTCCGGATGGCAGTCGTGAGTCAGTCAAGTGAGAATTCAAGTCGGCAGCAAGCTCCCACGTAGGGAGCAACACACAATTCCCCAGATCAAATAATAATATAAATAATAATAATACCACAGCACGCGTAGTAATATAATTATATGAGCACAATTATGTTCCGCTTCTGTCCTACCCATTCCTTTCCCGATGTAAAAAACAGTTTCAGATCAAAACTAAACACTAATCTGAACATAAGCAACTGTGTGTAGTATAGGGCCGCCTTGAATCCCTAGTGTTTTCGTGAGATCCTAGTGCCCCGTGGCACAACCCTCGTCACAGACACAAGCTCCTAATTCTCTTGTTGGTTAGAAGGTGTTCTTTATTGATCTGTCCCTGTTCTCGGGAGTTGTGTGATTACAGGAAAAATAGTGGGGAAAGTGAGTCGGACATGTATGGAAAAGTGTTGTATCGTGCTCTTTACAGTGGGTGCCCAATCGGGCAAAGCACAAACGAAAAGGGTGCCGTGAGTCAGTGCTGTCATGCAGCAACATTCTCCCCCCTGGTTACGAACCGTGGGAGAGTTAACATAAACATGCAAAAAAGAACAGAAGAAAAGCGAAGAAGACTGTATTAAAACCTAGCAACCATCGTGTTATTCGAGTAGAAATAAGGGTGGACGGTCCATGGACGCACGAAACAAGAAAAAGGAAAACAAGAAAAAAAGAGAAAAAAACAGCGCAGCTAGCTGCAGCTCAGAAGTGCGGGAGGCATGACAGCTCTACGACCGCACGTCCAGTACACAAATTTTCGCGGCGGGTCGGCGAAAAACGCTACCTGATGCGGTCTTGACGTCGACAACACGGACAACACCATCGCGGCCTGGATGGACAGCTGAGACGACACCTTTGGGCCAGGAACCCCGTGGTGCGTTGTCATCCGCGATAATGACAATGTCGTTTACGACGAGCTGCTTCGTTTGGCGGTTCCACTTTGTGCGGCGAGCGAGAGTTGGAAGGTACTCGCGAACCCAACGGCGCCAGAACATATCTGCAAGGGCTTGCGCAACGCGCCATTGGCGCCGCAGCGAGACATCTCCTGCCTGCGCGATTCCTTGAAGAATGGCACACGAGGAACCGATCAGGAAGTGGTTCGGAGTCAAGGCCTCGTCGTCGGCGGCATCCAGACTGACATGTGTGAGAGGTCGACTGTTCACGAGTGCCTCTGCTTCTGCCAGTGCGGTCAGGAGGGTCTCCTCCTTGGGATGGCGCTCTTTGAGGATGGCGTGAAGTGCGGTCTTGATGGATCCAACGAGCCGCTCCCAGGCTCCGCCCATGTGGGGTGCCGCCGGCGGGTTGAACGACCATGTAATGCCGTCATGAGAAAGCTGGTCCTGGATGCGAGCTTCATTCAGCTCACGAATGGCCTGGCGGAGCTCCTTGGCGGCGCCTTTGAAGTTGGTTCCGTTGTCTGAGTGGATCACCAGTGGACAGCCTCGCCTGCTGATGAATCGCCGGATGGCCATTAGCGTTGAGTCTGTGGACAGGTCGTGCGCCAGCTCCACGTGAACGGCTCGGGTGGCGAGACAAGTGAAGAGAGCGCCGTACCGCTTCTCATGTCTGCGCCCAACAGTGACAGACAGCGGGCCGAAGTAGTCCAGTCCTGTCCGTGTGAAGGGTCGCTGAAAGGCGTCAGTGCGGCACTCTGGCAGGGCCGACATGATTGGTGGCTGCGGCTTGGCACGGAGATTCTTGCAATGCTGGCACTCGCTCCAGGTGCTTCTTACCGCTGTGCGGATACCGGGTACCCAGTACTTCTGACGCAGCTCGTTCACTACGCGATCCTGTCCTTGATGTAACGACCAGACATGGTGTTGCTGTATGAGCAGCCTAGTGAAGGCGTGCTTCGGCGGGAGCAAGACAGGTTGGCGCAGGTTCTTGTTTTCAACCTTTGCGTTCCGTACGCGGCTGTCAGAGCGCATGATGCCATTGTCGTCGATGAAGGGTGTCATCTGGACCAGGCGGCTGTCCTTGTTGACTGGCTTGCCATTGCGGAGCGCAGCGAGTTCTTCTGGGAAGCCTTCCGCTTGTGCAGCTTTCCACCAAAGACTCTCCGCGGCTCGTAGCTCGGGGACTGTCAGCGACGGCTTGGCAGTGTCTCTTCCTCCGTGTCTCAGGTGGCGAGTGAAGCGTAGCACCCAGGCGGTTGCTCTTACCAGGCGACACCAGCTTGAGAAGCGCTCGATCTCTGGTAGTGCTGCCTTCAGGCTGGGTGGCTCTGAGCTGTCTCCGGCTGCTGCGTGGACGCCACTGAACGCACGCTTCAGCTCGAGATCATCCGGGTCCGGTGTACGAGTCTCCTCGGCGGGCCAGTCTGCTTCGCCTTGTCTCAAATAGTCCGGGCCGCCAAACCAGCGATCGTCCGGCTGCAAGCGCTGGGCAGAGATGCCTCTGGAGAGGTCGTCGGCTGGGTTCAGTCTTGTCGGTACCCAGTGCCACTGATCTACTTCTGTTGTGTCTGTTATTTCCGCGATCCGGTGGGCCACAAATGGTTTGAATTGCCGGGCGTCCGAGCGTATCCACAACAGCACCGTTCTGGAGTCTGTCCAGAATATGACCCGTGGAATTGAAATACGCAGCTGCTCCCGTACGGTACAGGATAGGCGCGAGGCGAGGACCGCAGCCTGGAGTTCCAGACGGGGTATCGAGGCCGGTTTCAGTGGAGCAACGCGTGCCTTCGCTGCAACTAGGGACACTGCCAGCTGAGTACCGTGGTTCGCTACTCTCAAGTACGCAGCGGCGCCGTATGCTTTCTCGCTTGCGTCAGCGAACACGTGCAGCTGGATGTCTGTAGCGACTGCAATCAACGGTGTGTAGCACCGTGGCACTTCTACGGTGGCCACCTGATCTAGCTCTGCAGCCCAATCTGTCCATCTCAGTGCAAGAGATGCAGGGAGTTCATCATCCCAGCCTATGCCAGCTCTCCACACGTCTTGGAGAAGCATGCGTGCGATGATGGAGTGGCAGGACACCAGGCCGAGTGGGTCGAATACAGTCAACTTCGCCAATAACGACATTCGGCGGGGCATCAGAAAAGTGTCCTTATTCGCGAAGTGTCCTTATAACCGAAGTCCCATTTGAACGTATGTGAACCCATATTTTGTATAGTATGATATGCATATCAAAATCAAGCTCTTTTTTTGCTCTATGTCAATGTGTACTTTATTTTCATATTGCAGTTGAAAGGAACTAAAAATTCAATATGCAAGGGAAATCAATTGAAAAATATGCCTTTTTGAGCAATCTACAGGGCCAGAGATATGTACATGTATGATGATTACTGTACAATCATGTACAACTACATGTACATTGTATACATATAGGTGTGCTGGTAAATCCAACCATTTTGAAGCCAACATTAAAAAGGAAGAAAAAGCCCCCCCCCCCCCCTGGCTGCATTTTCTTGCATGTGTGCAATAATATCCATCACCAGTGCACCATATGCATAGGTTCTGGTACTTCTGCATGACACTACATGTACTTGACTGACAGGTACTTGAAATAGCTGTCAAAAGCCCAGAAAGTCGTTATTCAAGCAGTGAATATGACCACGGGGCACTAAAAGCATGTCGCTATATGCGAATTGTCGTTATTCAGATAGTCGTTATATCCGAAGTTAAATATAATTATACAGTTAGATGGGACTTTGCTCTGGGCATGGAAATTCGGTCGTTATTCGCGAATTGTCGTTATATCCGCAGTCGTTATTAGCGAAGTTGACTGTACCGACATTGTGTGTCGCAGGACGCTTCGCTTCGTGACTGGTGCCTTTGGATCTGGCTTCGTGCCGCAGGAGAAGCCAAGAGTGTCCTTCGCAGGGTCCCATCGGAGGCCCAGGGTCTTCTCGATGGGGAGGTCGTGGCTGTGGACGTTCACGATTCTTGGTGACCTCAGATCTGATGGAAGGCTCTCGAGGACCGTCGGAGAGTTGCTCACCCAGTTACGGATCACAAACCCTCCCCCCTCGTGGACGTCCATCACCTTGCGAGTCAGTGCTACAGCTTCCTCGGTTGTTGGGGTGCTGTCGAAATAGTCGTCAACATAGTGGCACTCCTCTATGGCTGTCACGGTTCGCGCATCTCCGGAAGCCAAGTCGTGCGCATTGATGTTCTTCGCAAACTGGGCGGCGGTTGGTGAGCAGACTGCACCGAACGTCATCACGTCCATCTGGTACACATCAGCTGGTCTGCTTGCATCCATGTCGCGCCAGAGGAAGCGTTGTGCATGACGGTCTTCGGGACGCATCTTCACCTGGTGGAACATCTCCTTGATGTCTGCACCAAAGGCAACCTCATACAGTCGGAAGTTGTACAGAACTTGTGTGATCGGCGTCAGGAGGTCGGGGCCGGTGAGGAGGAAGTCGTTTAGAGACTTTCCATGCGACTTTGCCGCGGCGTCAAACACCAGTCGCACCTTGCCTTTCTCTTTGTTGTACACAGCAAAGTGTGGCAGGTACCATGTCCGCTCTGGCTGGTGGGTGGCCTCCTCAGGTGACAGCTTCCGGGCATACCCCTGTTCCAAATAGCTGTCGATCTTGCTCTGGTAGCCTTGTGCAAGCGTGTCATCCTTCCGCAGGCGCCTCTCCAGCTGCTCGAGACGCTGGGCAGCCGTTGCCTTGCTCCGTGGAAGGGTGATGTTGTCCTCCCGCCAGAGAAGCCCCGTTTGCCACCGGCGTCCGGTACGCGTGGTGAGAGTGTCTAGCAGCTGGAGTGCGCGGTCGTCAGCCTTGCTGCGGATTTTCGCAGGCTTGACCCCGAGGGAGTCTAGGGCGAACGACTGCTGGACCAGGTCATGGAGGTCGCTGTCGAGACCCCAGGTGGAGAGGACCACGCCTTCATCGATTCTGCAGCGGTCGGCGATCATTTTGCCATGAACAACCCACCCTAGCTTGGTCTGTGTAGCTACGGGTGCGTTTGGAGGGCCCTCCGCGATCACCCGTGGTGCGATCAGGCTGTAATTATCCTGTCCGATTAGGAGTCTGGGCTTGGCACAAGACAGCGTTGGTAGTTCAAGTCCCTCCAGGTGGGGGCAGTTTTTCAGCCGTTGAGGGTTGATTGATTGTGTTGGCAGGTTGAACTTGGCATGAGTGTGGACGTTTGTCAAGGTGAAGCTGTCCTGTCTCTGCCTGCCAGCTACGCTGAATGTTACTACCTTGGAGCTGGACTCCTGGTGCTGCTTGCCATCCGTCCATGACAGCCTCAGGGGCCGCGTTGGTCCTGCAAGTCCAAGTTCCTCCGCCAGTTCGCTTTCAATCAAGGACACTGTTGAGCCTTCGTCCAGGAGTGCGTATGTATCAGCCGCTGTGTCTCCGTTTCGTAAGGTGACCGGAATCACCCTCAGCAGCACCCTTCCACTGTGTTCCGACACGTGGGTTGCCGAGGTGTATGTCGTCTCTGACATGCGTCCTAGCGGTGCTACACTTCCGCGGCCATCGCGGTGTAGTAGCGGATGGTGGGGTTTGCCACACGAGCAGGCCTTCTCCTCGCATACCCTCGCCAGGTGGCCTTCGCCAAGGCAGCGGAAGCACAGCCGTCTGTCACTAACGAACTGCCGACGGGCGTTAAGTGGCTCCGCGGCTAGCTGACGGCAGCTACTTGTGGTGTGCCCAGCTTTGCTGCAGAATAGGCAATGTGGCTTACCGGCGGTGGCCTCCACGACTGTGAACGTTTGGCCTGTGCGTGGAGTGGCATGAGTGACGTCACATGGGCTCGGCTGAGCGACTAGGCATGCAGCCTTGGCCCTCTGTTGAAGCCAGGCAGAGAAGGTGTCCAGGTGCGGGTCTGTGCCGGTTTTAAGCACGTACTCTCCCCACTGGATCCGAAGCCCCCCAGACAGCTTGCCAACTAGCTCCTTGACCAATTGAGGGTTGTAGAGATGGCCGGTGCACTTTGTGCTTCGCATAGTGGCCACAAGGTTGCGGCACAGGGCGCTGATTTCAATCAGTACCTCGATGGCCTCCTCCGACTTCATGCCTCTCTGTGATTTCGTCTTCAGAATGAGATTCTGGACAATCTGGTCCGGGCGGCCGAACCTCATCCTCAAGATGGAGATGACCTCCCCTACATTGTCGGGGAGAGTCATCATCCCCTGTACAGCTTCCTTTGCCTTTCCGCGCAGCGCCTTTTGCAGTCGTCCAAGGTTCTCCCCGTTCGAGAATCCGCACTCTCTGGTCGTGTGCTCCAGGGCGAAGATGAATGCTGGCCACTCGTCAGCATGTCCAGAGAACTGAGGCAAGTCCTTGGCAGTGGACTGCCTTGCCATGAAATGGTGGGTGGTGAGATTCATGGGGTGTGACTGCCTTGCACTTGTAGGGGTAGGACGTGTGCCATTGGGCTCGTTCCCTGAAGCCTGCTCACCTTGGACTTGGTGGTCCAGTAACAGATCCTGGATTTGACCATTGGCTTCCTCAAGCGCTGCTCCCATGTTTCTCTCCGCGCGCTCGGCGCGCTCAGCTAGGCTAATGCGATCCGCGCATGTCAGCTCGGATCCGTTGCCGGTCTCCCGTGATCGACGGGACGAACTTGATCGGACGCTGGCATTACTGCTGCCGCTTGACCGGTTTCTGTTCAACTTCTTCTGGAGTTCTAGCTTCTTGCGGATCAGCTTTCGTTCTACTTCTGCAAGCTCCTCCGCGGCGATACGTTCCGCTTCCGCGTCGAGTTCGTCGATTGAGCGGAGCGAGCGCCGGCTGCTGCAAGACGTTGCTGATGAAGTGGTGAGTGAACGAGCGCTCATCGACCTGCTCCCGTTTTGGTACCCTGCGCTGGCTGCAGCAAGGCCTGCATTTTCGCCGATCTGCGCGTCGTTTGTGTACTGGACACGCTTTTGGTGTGCATGAGGCAAAAAAGGAACAGCCGGGGTCACAGAGCGCGTGTGAGTGTCATGCAAATCGGAACCTAAAAAGGACTGGCCAGCGTACGGCTGGTGAGGTGCTAAATCTACAGCTACATGATGTGGTGCGTGTACGGGATCATTGTTTGCATGCATTTGTGTGGAGGTGCGTGTGTGCGAATATGAAAACGGCCTACTTGTAGAGGAAGCATTACATGTTTCAAAATTGTTTTCATGACTTTCATGAACAAACTCATTCGTGGAACTACTAACATTAGTATTACGAACAGCAGAACAAACAGGCATATAATTATTTGGTGTGTGGAGACCAGGACCTAACTGGTTGGTGCTTTCTCCAGCTCCACCTCGAGTGATTTCACTTAGCTCAGCCTCTTGTTCCGTCTTGACGATGTCAGCCATCTGCGTTGACTTGCCGGCGTCGTCCTGGGCTGCCGCTGCTGCTGTTGCGTTGTCGTCGTCTCCGAATCGCGTCGGTGCACGAGACAGACGGCCACTCCGTGTGGTGTACATAGGTTTGCTGTGGCGTCGATCCGCGACGCTCCTCAGCTCTCTGGTTGGTTCGAGTATGGCGATGCCGGACCCTCTCCGCAGAGAATCCGGCTCGAAGGACCAATGTTTTCGTGAGATCCTAGTGCCCCGTGGCACAACCCTCGTCACAGACACAAGCTCCTAATTCTCTTGTTGGTTAGAAGGTGTTCTTTATTGATCTGTCCCTGTTCTCGGGAGTTGTGTGATTACAGGAAAAATAGTGGGGAAAGTGAGTCGGACATGTATGGAAAAGTGTTGTATCGTGCTCTTTACAGTGGGTGCCCAATCGGGCAAAGCACAAACGAAAAGGGTGCCGTGAGTCAGTGCTGTCATGCAGCAACACCTAGCTTTCCCAGGCAGTACCGAATCGGTGGTAACACAAAGCTCTTTGTCTGCATTGGGTACAGTTGTTACTGCCAAGCCACATTGAGCTACCAAAAAACCCAAGTTAACCCTTTACCATCCGTGCGTACTTGAATCGATCTCTAGAGATCGATGGACATTCATGCACTAAAACATTCGTAACTCGATCGATTCTTGTCGGAATTTAAAGAACTAAGGATCTAGGAAGAAGCCGAAGAGTCCAGCTTTCCATTGCATCAATCATTAAAGAGCTGCGATGTCACATTCCAAAGATATTTCGCTCGACATTTCAGCTACGCCAAAAGTCGAATTTCTTTCCGAGTGACTGACCTTGAGCGGGGATTTTCCCCTCTCCTGACATGCTGAGTCACTTTGACATGCTTTGAGCGCGTGGGCAGCATGAAAAGAAACTCAAGCAAAAAAATTGGAATGTTTACGATGAAGGAGCGAGAAATGGCTGGCGAGGACAGAATTTCCTCGTATATCCAGCGATGGGGTGTATTTGAAGCTCCCTGGCGCTGGATATGTGATCTCGGTAGTGTCCTGTTTGCGCTCAATGTACGCAGCTCGTGGAGAGCTTTCCAAAATTGGTTGATTAGAACCGAAGATATTCTCAGAACAAGGTGAGAATTATTGCATTAATTTTGGGACTGCTGGGGAAATTTGGTCGGATGGTAAAGGGTTAATGGGGAACTGTCACCAAAATTTTCTTTGTCTAATCTTGTAGTTCTTTGGCTCCTGATCACGATGGTGTTATTCGTTTTTTCTCTGCGATGACTGGAAGTGGGTGAAAACTTGAAAAGAAGGTGCCCAAAATTGTCCCGAAGTACCGAGTGACGTCACGCCGGACTTGACCTCCACGCGTACATTCATCGTCAAAAACGAAGTCCAGCTCGTGTGCTGGTCGATCGAGCCAACTGTTCGATGTACGGTGCACGCTTGCCTTCTGAACTCGGACACTGATGTGTACGTTGTACACAATGAGAACGCCAAAAAGGGACAAAATAAACAAAAGTCGACAGCAGTTTGTCGCACTGGTACTTCCTCCACGAAGCTTCAGCTCTTTGTTTTATTTGTGATTACGAAGGAGTGGAGGATGTTTGTTTGCTGTTAGTGTGACACACATACCTCGTACTTGAAAAGTATGTCGTTGTATCGAAGGTGGCGGTGTTGCCCACCCGGCTCTGAAATGAAAGACGTCGGAGTTTGTCATCTGCATCTTCAGCAACATCGCCAGATGAATCGCCTTCACGTACCTACACTGCGTTCCTTTGGGGCTCGGGTTGGTGGTGTTATCGCCGGCCGGAGGAGTACTGTTTTCTGCATACGCACTCATCATCGTGTTGTTCCTCACACGAAAAGTTCAAAACAACGACGTACTTCTGTGCTCACAAAATGAAACTTAGATCCTCGCGGAAGAAGTCAAAAAGGTGAAAGCTCAGCTGCTTTTTATTTTAATTTGGCTGTGTAACTGCGAGTGGGTCTCTGCCTCTTTGGCATTCTCCTTTGCGAGCTTCGGTACGACGTACCCATCTGTGTTACAGTTCAAAAGGCACACGTGCACCGTACATTGGAACAGCTAGCTCGATCAAACAGCAAACGGGCTGAACTTCGTTTTTCACGACGAATGTACGCGTGGAGGTCAAGTCCGGCGTGACGTCACTCGGTACTGGGTGTCACTTTTTCCCGAAAATTCTAATTAGACAAATGCTACTAGGGAAAGCAGCAGTCCGCAGAAATGCAGATCAGTGTTTTAACTTACATCCATAGCATCATCTTCTTGCTTGACAACACCACTGGTTGATGTGAGAGGAAGGGATTGAGCGGGTGTAGCGGCTGGTAAGCTGCCCTCCACCACCCACACCTCTTCTTCAGCGTCCATCTCATTATCAGAGGAGTCCGACTGTGAAGCGAGCAGTGACCAGATTTCATCGCCACTAGGCACCGCAAGGTCTGCATCTAGACCATAGCGCTTGTAACTGTCCCAGTAATCCTCAGGAACCGAGTGGATGACTTCGTCCAGGCTGAGCTCACTCTCGGCATGCAACTGACGCACTTCCTCCGCAATCACTGCTTCGCTCTGCATGGAGAGAATAAGCAATGCCGGACATACACAGACGCACACACACACACACACACACACACACACACACACGCACGCACGCACGCACACACACACACACACACACACACACATGCATAGGACAGAACTATGAGTTCACCAGCTCCTTGTGCTGCAGAAACCCACAGAAAGAAGTCGTCCTTACCGGTATTTGCTCTGCCTTGCAGATGGTAGTCTCATCATCATCATCAGACTGTGTCTCTTGCTGGTAGTCTGTGTGTGTGTGTGCGTGTGGGTGCATGCATGTACGGAATGGCCAGAACAACAGAAGCAGCAGACACAGGTCAGAAGGGCAAAACAAATCAGAAAATACTCCCCCCCCCCCCCCCCCACACACACACACCTGGCCCAGTTGAAAATACACACAAATGGTGTGGTCCCTCTAGATCATGCAAGTCCTCAAAAAAGCCAATATGTTTTGTCACATGATGCAACGAGTTGTCTAGTTGACTGGGAGCGATATTGCATACAGATGAGAAGGGCGGTGGTCAACATCATTACCGTACATAATTGCAGCATGATCGTGTACCTTATCATTATGATCATGACACACATCATGGCACACACCGTGGCACACATCATGGCACACACCATGGCACACATCATGGCACACACCATGGCACACATCGCGGTGCAGGCACACAGCACTACTCGATACATCAGCCATCAGTCACTCCAGACCATCAGCATCAGCAGCAGCACGAACGTTCATCAAGACAGAAAGGCCGCCAACGTGTTGTCTTGACTCATGTCTTCGTGTACAGTTCCGCTCAGTATACCCCCCCCCCGCCCACACACACCCTGTACATGTGAAACAGCACCATCTCTATACCCCTGTATACCCCCCCCCCCCCCCCCCGCCCACACACACCCTGTACATGTGAAACAGCACCATCTCTATACCTCTGTATACCCCCCCCCCCCGCCCACACACACCCTGTACATGTGAAACAGCACCATCTCTATACCCCTGTATACCCCCCCCCCCCCCCCACACACACACCCTGTACATGTGAAACAGCACCATCTCTATACCCCTGTATACCCCCCCCCCCCCCACCCCCACACACCCTGTACATGTGAAACAGCACCATCTCTATACCCCTGTATACCCCCCCCCCCCCCCACCCTGTACATGTGAAAAAGCACCATCTCTATACCCCAGTATACTGTAAGTCCACAAATATTCGGCGCATACTTATTCACTGCATATTTATTTTCGGTTATTTTCGGCCTGGGCATTTTCGGCCGAAATTTTGTTTCGCAAGTTTCAGTGTGACAGTTTCAACAGGCAGCAGCAGTACAGGCTGAAATTGTAATGCGGCCGAAATGCGTTTTAGCCCTGGGAGGCCGAAATTTGTAGACTTACAGTAGAGCAATGTGGAAGATGCATGAACACAGTAAAACAAGACCTACCACTGGGAGAGGCACTCCACATCAAATCTTTGGCAAGGCCACAATCGTCGTCATCGTCGTCTGGACACTCCTCCAATGCTTCCTCCATAGCCATACGCCGCTGGTATACTTCACGGCTATCAGCAGTCTGGACAACACAACACACACATCCCACAGTCCATGCATCTTGTTCATGAATACAGCACAAACACATCCCACAGTGCATATGCCTTGTTCATGACTACAGCTTGGGGGCGAAACAAACTGACCGAGTGTTCGAATGTTCGTTTGCAATCGCAAAGCGAACGAATGTTCGAGCAATCTCAACTTTCAAACTAAAGTAAACTCGCGCACTAGACCACCAACTTGTACGGGCTGAAAAAACTTCTTTGAATTACTTTCTGCGCGCGTGTCGCAGACACTTCTCTCAGTTCATGCAATGCAGTGTGTGTACGTGGTGCAGTTGTCTGCACCACGTACATGTACTGTGAAACCTGCCTTATCCAGACGCCCTTGGTGCAGCGGAAACGATTTGTCTGGACGACGAATTGTCTGATCATGATAGGATTTCTTATTAAGTGGGAGCTCGTTGACTGGCACAAGCGAAACAGGAATACAGCGAAAGAGATTTTGGTCTTTGACCACTTTGTGAAGGGTTTGATCTACTCACTGCCCACCGCTTTAGGACCTGCATCTGCACCTTGATCCTTGAGGATGGTGCACCCCCCCCCCCCCCCCCCCCCCCCCCGGGCCATTCCTGCGGAAAACTCAGTCTGACTGGGTCCCACGTGGATTGTGAACTTGTTTAGGACAGGATTCTGCCTGGGGCAGGATTCGGTGAACACCGTAAGCTTTACTGCAAATCAATTCCTACCTCCTGTACATCGTTCCAAAACTTCTTGACTGCATCACCAACCGTCCGCGCCAAGCACTTCAGTTTACCAACGACTTCTTCATTGCTGGTGCTGCTGCTGTTGCGGCTTGCATCATCGCATGATGCTCGAGTGCGCTGCAGCAGCTCAGCCTCCTGATGAAGGACATGACGAGCAGCTGAATGTGCCAGCTACAAGTGTGCATAAAAACAGTGACAGAGAACAAGAGTAATCATGACAGGCCTTTCAACATTGCCCCAGTAAATAATCAGTACAGATCATGGACGGCATCCACAAGTATAGTCACTAATACCAAGAGTAGATAAACAAGAGTGTGCAACTTCGGGTCTCTCCTGCACAATCTGCAGATACCCCCACCCACGGCGGAATTTTATGTTGACGTCACCTTTTTTCAGAGAAACGCGCATTTTGCCGCAGAGCAGTGTGAGAGCACGTGCTGGGCATCGACCTTGTAATGTAAACCCCGGCCAAGTGCACGAGGCAAAACTTTCCAAAAGACTTGCAGCGCGTGTGTCGTAGAAAAGATTACGTCAACAAAAAATTCCGCCGTGGGCGAACCCATCCGCGACTTGCACACTCTTGTTTATCTACTCTTGCTAATACAGGTGGAATCCTGATAATTCGAATATGGCTTAATTAATTAGAACATACTGCTTAATTAGAAGTTTCTTCCGGGACCGATTTCTATCAATACGATTTCCACATAACAATTTCTGATAATTAGAACCTCGAACTGGGTACGTCCGGTTAATTAGAAGTCCCACGGAATCCACTTACATAGAAAATGTGTGGGATTTGTGCTGATAATTCGAAGTTAGCAAAACATATTAGAAGTTCACTATATTCTCATCAAATCAGTTTGATTTACACGTGCAGGCAGTTCAGTGTCCACTAAATTTGTGTCTAAGATGCGTACAGTAGGATCGGGCGCCGAAGAACGCAGGGGCTCGAGCGCAGCCTAGGAAAGTTCTTAAATTTTTGATTCTGGCCAGACCGTTCTTATTCACACGCGCGCGGCGAATCGAGTGACGTCATGACGTTTGTCATGTACATGTAGTGCAATGTAGTACTTCTAAACTAGTGGGTGTCGTAAATGGGAATGACTGTACATGTAGCAGTTACTGTTTACACGTGTACATGACATGTACTCACCTCCCATACATGTACAATGTAGATCTACGTACAATGTAGATCTAGTGTTCTTAAATCTGATAATTCTAGCCTGGACTGTTCTTAAATTTTGCCGGTTTTCCAGCCTGGGTGTTCTTCGGCGAGGTGTTCTTCGGCGCCCGATCTTACTGTAGTGCAACTCTACGTGTCAATGCGAGCATTTTGACATACATAATGTGTTGTGGGCACATGTTTGGATAATTAGAATGTCCGGATAATTAGAAGTTTTTCCCTGGCATTTTGGGGTTCGAATTATCAGGATTCCACCTGCACCCACCGCTACAGGTGAGTACTGTAAAACATGTAATTTTAGGTGTATTAAAATGTTGGTGTCAGGCAAAGTGACAGGTTTCAGGTGCAATGTAGAATTAGGTGACCAGCTTTCCCTTCACATACAGTGCATACTCTAGTACCTTTTAGGTGTTATCTAAATTTCGGTGCCTGGTTTTCCTACCGAAATCACCGAAATTTACATGTTTTACAGTAAAACGTAGACTTTCACAGACCACTTCTCCCTGAGTATGTACATACGCTAGTGGTGTCGCTATCACACAGAGGAAGAGCTTGACACAAGACTCATATTAGCCAGATACAACATCGCATGGCACACGTACACATACAGTTTTATTGTTTACTAACAGCCATATTCACACCCAACCCACTGGCACCTCAGACTGAAACACTACACAGCCATTCACACCCAACCCACTGGCACCTCAGACTGAAACACTACACAGCCATATTCACACCCAACCCACTGGCACCTCAGACTGAAACACTACACAGCCATTCACACCCAACCCACTGGCACCTCAGCCCACTGGCACCTCAGACTGAAACACTACACAGCCATTCACACCCAACCCACTGGCACCTCAGACTGAAACACTACACAGCCATTCACACCCAACCCACTGGCACCTCAGACTGAAACACTACACAGCCATATTCACACCCAACCCGCTGGCACCTCAGACTGAAACACTACACAGCCATATTCACACCCAACCCACTGGCACCTCAGACTGAAACACTACGCAGCCATTCACACCCAACCCACTGGCACCTCAGACTGAAACACTACACAGCCATTCACACCCAACCCACTGGCACCTCAGACTGAAACACTACACAGCCATATTCACACCCAACCCACTGGCACCTCAGACTGAAACACTACACAGCCATATTCACACCCAACCCACTGGCACCTCAGACTGAAACACTACACAGCCATATTCACACCCAACCCACTGGCACCTCAGACTGAAACACTACACAGCCATTCACACCCAACCCACTGGCACCTCAGACTGAAACACTACACAGCCATATTCACACCCAACCCACTGGCACCTCAGACTGAAATACTACACAGCCATATTCACACCCAACCCACTGGCACCTCAGACTGAAACACTACACTTGACTGTGTGTATAGATTAGACTGTGCATGCTCAAATGTACAAGAATGCAAAAAGGCCAGATCTCTCACCATACCTTGTATAGGTGTGTGATGTGGTCAACGGCGCCATGTATGAATGGATACTAGTAGCTGCTTAGAACTTATTGCACCAGACTAGATACAGAATGGGTGAAATTGAGACTAGTCACTACAGCTACTACTAGCTAACACCCGGACTACCTCAGCATACACTGTCAACAGCGCCATGTGTGGATAGCTCATTAGAACGTATCGCATGAGAATAGAGGCAGAATGGGCGAGAATGGGGTCACAGCAACTTTGCTTGCACCCTGACCTACATGCACATCAGCATGATAGCAGCACGGTGGATACCGATATACTTCGTAATATGATGTGTAAGGTGCTGTACACAAGAGAGAGATTGGAAGCTGTGTGGCACCTCTGGCTCTGAGTCTGATGTATTACTACGATCATCAGGCAACATAAGGTGCTGTACAAATACCAGCCTAGTATTTCACACTAGCCATGCGGGGGAAAAAACTGCACTAGCGAATGATCCACAAAGAACACACTAGCCGTGCTAAAACTGCACTGGCGAATGACCCACACAGGCCACATTACCCGTAATAAATACCAAACTACATCTCATCTGTCTCTTTTCAGTTCTATCCACTGATTACCTGCCAAGACCATCATGGTTAGGCAGTAGATGCATGCAGTCAGTGGGAGCAAAGCTGCAACTTCTGTCATGTTCTCTGTAGGGTTTAGCCACTAGTAAATACTTCTGCAAACACACTCATTGTATCTTGGCATGGGATGCTGAGCATAATCATTAGTTAGACCTACCGATTCTTTCGTCATCAACTGCTGATCTACTGCAAGTACACTGTGCATGGTACATTCCACTTTGGATTGGACCAAAGGTGGGCGCTGACGTGTGCAGATACATGTGTGCATACCTACCGGTATGTGCATGCATTCATGTGTACGCGTCTGCGCACATGCTCGCATGTGTGTTTATGTGTGTATATGGCTGCATGTGTGTGAGTTTGTGTGTGTGTATGCGTGGTGTGAGCGAGCGCGCGTGGGAGTATGTGTGTGTGTGTGTGTGTGTGTGTGTGTGTGTGTGTGTGTGTGTGTGTGTGTGTGTGTGTGTGTGTGTGTGTGTGTTGTGGGTCCGCCTGTGTGTGTATGCATGAGCAAGAGTCAATGTGTGTGTATGTGCATGTGGGTTGTGTGTGTGTCTACACATGTGCGCACGTGTGTATGCGTGTGCATGGGGCGGGTGTGTGGATATACTGTGTAAGCACACATGCACACCACCAGCATGACTAGATAGCACACACACTGTCACACTCACCATCTTCGCAGCTTCCTTTTTCCAGCGCAGCTCTTGAAAGAAGTCGACAGCCATCAACTCCATCTCCTCCAGCATATAGTCCCAGACAGTCTTGCGCCGTCGGGGCTCATACACCAAGGGTAGTCTGCAAGCCGGCCACAATCCCTCATTGTTGATATCAGAGATACGCTTGATAATCCTGCTCTCCTGGATGTCTTCCTCTGTAGCCGGTGTAGCGACCATGGCGGCACTAGCAGCAATGGCAGCAGAGCTAGTGGCCGTGTGTGCCGCGTGCGGCAGGATTGAAGCAACATGGCCTGCAGCTGCTATACTGTTCGAAGCGCTGGCATGGGCGGAGGGGGTAGGCTGTGCTAGAGGTGTGAAGCGCATGCGTGCTGACGGTGCAGCAGCAGCCGGAGTGACAGCGGAGGACGCAGTGCCCGCGGCTGGCGACACTGTTGCTGCCGCTGCTGCTGCGTGCGCACCTGGCACTGCAGTAGAAGCGCTGGTCGGGAAGAACTTTTCTCGTGACACGCCGGCTGAGGAAGAGGTTATCCGGCTCATGTCCTTGCGTGATATAGTGGCCTTGAGAGTACCACCCGGTGTTTGAATAATACCACCGGTCGCCTTCGCCTCAGTACTGTCTACTGATGTACTGCTCACCGAACGCAGGTCTTCCTCGTCCTCCAGGCGGTTTTGAATCATGAACTCGTCACGCGACTTGTTAGGCTTCTTCTTCCAGGCCAGCAACTCCATCATGTTGCCTGAGCTCTGCAAGAAGAACAGTTCCATCAGCTGCGACTCATACTTTGATTTAATCTTCTCCATCGACGACAGCTTGCTGTTCAAAACCTCCCGCAGCAAATCCGCCTCGGACATGCTCTTAGCCTCTTCAGTCAGTGCGGCCATATCAATCTTGGCTGCAGCATGGTGGCTCCCTGACTGCCGCCCGGCAAGGTTGCTGCTGTCCGCACCAGCACGTGCCGCAGCAGCAATGTTGAGCGGAGGCAAGGAGCGACGCTCTCCATGTTGCTCTCTGCGTGACTTCAGCCCAGTCTTAACACCAGACATAGCCTCTCCTCACACAGCGGCACGGACAATCTACACATGCATAGAATACAAGACGCGAAATCACGAATACGAAAAAGCCTTTTTCACGAATTAGGAATTCATGTAAGGAGTACATGTATGTGAAACATGAGAATTTTCCCGAGCAAAAGAAGCTAGACATTCACGAAACCTGCATCTATGAACAGATCTCCTAACCTACAAGGAGAAACTGCATAGCTCACAACAAATTCAAAGTTGTATTCATTACATTTCGGGTACCACACTCAGTGAAAGTTTGAACAGAGCAATTCTTCCAGCTCCGCCAAAATTCAGGGAATGAAGTCTTCCGCTCACCATAGGGGCCGAGTTCTGGTGTGGACGCTCCGATGTTCCTGTGGTAGTCTCAGCATTCACCCGGGTTCCCAATTCCCAGCAACAACAGCCCAAAGTAAAAATTATGTATCGCACTCAGCAGCTACAAATTTTCCTTGCTTCTCATTTGTGGAATTAGGGATTTCAGATCCAGGCGAGGCGCCATGTTCTTTCTTGCAGTTTATCATGCTAGTCGGGCGGAATTTGAAATACGTCGATTTTATAGATGTGAAATCTTGTCAAACCTGTCAGGATCACGGTGTTTTGGCTAAAAACTGTTATAAAAAGCACACGCGATTTATTGTTTATTGAAAAAATAATTATTGATTGCACCCTTTATTTTCGAATTATTTCGTTGATTTCATGATTGTTTTCAACTAAACACAGTGTAAAGTAGTTGACTTGAGTTGAGAAGAGTTGTGTACTTGCGTGGTTTGTCTACACCTAATCACTGTTCGAATACACCAAGGTATACCAGTACTAGTAATCTAAACGATCTTGAAAGCATTATCGAGCTAGCCCTGTTCTTGTTGCTCTGATAGCGATTCTGGAAATTGTATCGTTGTGAGTATGGCTGATCTACGTGCAGAGTTTCTAGCTATTTTCCCTGAGTTGGTGACAGAAATACTAGCACCTGAGCGCAATAGCAGTGAAGTCCAGTATTTGGCGGATGCATTGGACCATATGGAGCGTGTAAGCGTTGTGTTCAGTGGTGTTTCCCCTTACAAAACTATAGTATAACAGGGAATGTACAACCCCAGAAGTGGGCGTAACTACATGTAACTGAATACGCCCATGCCATGGCCACAAAGCTCAACTTCACCGGCTACATACAGTGCAAATCACGCCACAATGTATCATTTGAAATCTGGTCATTTTTTCAGTACCATGCACGCTAGCTGCTACAGTCAATAGGGAGGTTCCGCTCTACGGAATTACGTTAGAAAATAACGTAGGAACTGCACGTAATTTTCATACGTAAAATCAGCGCTGTTGGGTTTCGCTCTACGTGATTTCTCCACGACTGCTAAGCATGCCTTGTTGCTTTGGAGACGGGTTGGCTGCATGCGCCCACCGCATGCCCCACGAACCGAAACCGCGTTTTCCATTTTGTTTTCCACGTGGTGTGTACCTCGTGTTTTGCGCGGCTTGAACGTTGTCATGGATAGATCCGGAAAGTGCGAAAAATATTTCAAAAAGTCCTACGGAGGACCCAACTTTGGAAACAGAGTAGAGAGATTTTAGGTATGAAGGTTGCCCTCGCTTCCCGGCCTGTATCACATACGGATTTTCATACGTAATTACGTAAAGCGAAACCTCCCTAATCTGTCTTGTTACAGTGAGCTTGGAACACGTGCCTCGTATGACCAGGTTGCCAGTAGACGATTCTGTGAATTTTTTGAAGGGATGTGCTCTCTCATACATTGTGTAGCATTGAATGCACATGCATGTACATGACGTATAGACTCAACCTTCTCATATGCACACGTAGACTCAAACTGCCCTTGTATGCACGAATAGACTCGGGCTACCCATGACCGGTTGTAGCACTGTACATGTAGTAAATATGTATGGATTGTAAGTCATGTGACCTATGGTTATATAAGTCTTGTGAGGTACATGTACGTACCTGTGCGGCGGACGTACGTCTGATGCTGATCAGTGGTGCTTGGAACACAGGGCATGGGCATGTGTGTACATGTACATGCATGTACAGTGCTGCTCAATGAAATCCAGTAGCATCACTCAAGTTTGCGCCTTGCACCATTTCGCAGCCCAGTGTTCGCAGGTCTAGGGCTGCGCAGCGCCCGGCGCGTACTTGAGTGACACGACTGGATTTCATGGTAGAAGGTCCAGGAACTGGTTAGAATGGATGGGGTGTCAGTCCCCTCTCCATCCATTATACTCACACATGGACATGGGCATAGTGGACAAGCTCACTTTCATGCCGTGCCATGTCTCAGTACTCCTTGTCAGTTGGATGCTAGATTGTGCACGTCTGACTGTTCGAAACCTGGTCTAGTTGGTGGACTCTAACGGATAACTTGTGCCCCACTGTTTCCCACGTTGTCACTTTTATCTGCTTTCTTACTTCCAAGTAGGGTAAAGAATAGCCCTGTACCGCAGGGGATTAATACAAGAAACTAACTCTCCTCCTCCGTGCGCTCTAAAGCCGATCATTGCTACCCTCGGTAGCCATTAGAGGCTTTAGAGCGCATGGAGGAGGAGAGTTAGTTTCTTGTATTATTCAACAGCCGAAAGGTACCGTTCAACAGTTTATTGATATCCGCAGGGAACTATACAAAAAAATTAATATTGATTATTGTGAGTGATGAGTGATGCGAGTCCAAACCTTCATCATTTTGCGAGAACTGTGGCAATACGCCCAGTGAGAAGGCAGATTTTGCCTGTGCTTCTGGTGAAGTAAAATAAAGCTTAACAAACAAACAATGCATCAAGAACTGCTGTCCTACAGCTTCACGATTGCTTCTGCTGCTATCTTGAAAACATTGTCAGGAGTGTGTATACATGTCCATGCATGTCCATGCTGTTGATGTACATCTGTTTGCGCGTGTGTGTATGTGTGTGTGTCCGTCTGTCTGTGCATATGTGTGTGTGTGCATGTGTGTGTGCGCGCGTGCGTGTGTGTGTGTGTGCGTGTGTGTGTGTGTGGGTGTGGGTGCTGTTACAGGTGCTGAACTACAATACGCCTGGTGGTAAGTAGCTTATGTATTCTACATGTATATGTGGCCATGAGTGCCTTGCTGTTGCTGCTGTTGCTGGTATTTTACGTTGCGTTTGATGAGCAGCAAGTTACCTGATACTTTTCATAATGAAGCCAGCTGTGCTAATAGCTTTCATGTTCCAAGACCCAACCTTTCTTCTGCATGTACGCGCATGCGTGTGTGTGTATGTGTATGTGTGTGTGTGGTGTGGTGTGTGTGTGTGTGCACGTGTGTATGTGCTATTTGTATCTACGCACCTTAGGTAAGCTGAACAGAGGACTTGCTCTGGTTGCATCTGCTCGTCACTTGGCTGCATCAAAGAGCCACACGCTGTCAGACAAGGAGAATCGCCAGGCACTAGTTCTCGGCTGGTGCGTGGAGCTACTGCAGGCGTTCTTCCTTGTAGCTGACGATGTCATGGATAAGTCGATTACTCGTCGCGGTCAGCCATGCTGGTACAAAGTGGTAAGTCTGCCACTGTGGTGAATGAAGGACGAGTATCCTGGGACATGCTCTCTATCTTGGTGCAATGTTGAAGAGCCACTGATGTTCCTATTGTGTGGCCACTATTCGCTGATCAAGACTCTATCTTGGTGCAAAGTTGAAGAGCCACTGATGTTCCGGTTATGTGGCCACTATGTGCTGATCAAGATCCTGAATTGTCCGACCTAGGCATGATGTGAGCATGATGGGCTAGTAGGCTGGTGTCATTTGGAAGTGTTATGTGTTCATGGGTGCTGCTGGCGTTGTTGTGCAAGCATGACTGCTGCTATAACGCTTGTTCCATTCTGTGTGTTGTGTATGGGTGTGTGTGTGTGTGTGTGTGTGTGTGTGTGTGTGTGTGTGTGTGTGTGTGTGTGTGTGTGTGTGTGTGTGCGCGCGCGCGCGCGTGTGCTTGTGTACGTACATGTATGTGTGTCTTTTCCGCTGTGTGTAATCGCTAGGATGGCGTTGGTCTGATGGCAGTCAATGATTCGTTCCTCATCAACTCGACAATATTTCGCTTGCTGAAGCTGTACTTTGGTGACTCGCCAGCCTATGTACACCTCTTGGAGCTTTTTATACAGGTACAGCGCTGGAGTCTTGTAGTTCACTGTGGTCTAAGTACAGTGACATACTTCAGTACATGCGTACTGATCATTTGACCTTGGATATACAGAACATTGTACAGAACAACAAGGACAATCAAGGCTTGTTTGCTGCTACTCAAAGTGTCATGCTTTCGCAATCATCATCATTGAACATTGCACATGTATACTATGTATGGTCTTTAGAGGTACGTTTAATACACGCAGTGTTCACTGTACCTTCCCTCATCAGCAACGAAGTGTAGATTGCAGTGTACTTTTTACATGTAAAAGTGTGTGATATGTGCTACAGTTTTCTTCACATGTGTGTATGTACGTCTGTGTGTGTCTTTATCTGTGTGTATACGCATGTGTGTGTGTGTGTTGCACGTTTGTGTGTGTATGTCCACGGCGTATGTCCACGATGTGTGCAACCTAACTGTTTGTAGGTATCCTACCAGACGGAACTTGGACAGAGCTTGGACTTGATCACGGCACCAACTGATTCTATAGACCTGAGCAAGTTTTCCACTCAACGGTAAGTTCCTCCGGGACTGGCAGTCACAATGGTCACTCGCTTATCCCCCGACTGGGCAAGGTCCACAGAAAGAAGTCAGTGCTGCTCTACAGACGTACAGTGCAGCAAAGGCATTCAATTCAATGAGCCATGTGTTCATGAGCAAATTGCGGATAAGTGAATTCCATAGATGACCCCCCCCCCCCCCCCCCCCACAAACATTGTCCACGTCATTTGCCTAAATAAAGCATGGCTCTTCCAAAATACCGTATCATGCACTGGTACACTCTCTTTCAGTAACTCTCAGGAACCGTTTCAAATGTCCCCTGCATGTAACCTTCTGTGTGTTGCTTTCACAACTACACCTAGCTCAGCCGCCATTCCAGCTTGGATGTTTTCTGTTGTGTGTGCAGTGCACTCCAGCTGCTGCTCTGAACAGGCAACTGCTGTAGCGCAGTACTCACCGTGTGTGTGTGTGTCCTGTGTCCTATGCACTGCATCCTTTGCAGGTACAAGTCGATAGTGTTGTACAAGACAGCGTTCTATTCCTTCTACCTACCTGTAGCTGCAGCCATGTTTATGGTAAGCTCTAACCCTCTACTGCATATGCGATGTGCCATGGAGCATCGGAATTCCAACCGCCTTTCGGACCAGGCAAATTGGTCCGATTTCCGAATTTTTGCTTGACATCACGAAAAAAGAAACTTCACTTGAACATTCGCAGCTTTGAACACTAAAAAGACTTCTACGGGAACTGATGGTGAACCAACCTCATGCAATGTTTACGTATATGTCATGTATACACATTACACACACACACGCATGCACGCACACACCATACTGCTTCGCACAACTTGCCTCTCATTCCTGCTTGGTCTCCATTGTCTGTGTGTGTGTTTTATGTTGTTTGCTATATCGCTTGCAGCTTGGCTATTCAGATCCTGGACAGCATGAGGCAGCCAAGGCTATCCTACTGCCGATGGGTGAATACTTCCAGATTCAGGTGAGCACAGCAGCAGTAACAGTTACTCGCTTTCTAAGCGTCGGTAGCGTTAAAGGTGTTTGAAACGTTTGTTTATGTTCCATTGATCTGAATACATGGAGGGTGGCGCTCTCGTCTCCTTCAAACTGCCTACAACTTTGTAAGGCTCTTGTAAATAGTACGTTACAAGTAGCGTTACCGAAAGCGTGTGTCGGCATGCTGTGTAGGCCCAGGCCTTCAAACAAAGGGCTCTGCTCGGGTGCGTGACAATAGCTTATAAACCAGATGCACAATGTCATTGTGATGTCATCTGTACATGAAATCGGTGCTTTTTAGAGAAACTGTTGCTGCTTTCGGGGCTTAAAACTAAATTAGACAGTGCAGCACCACACCCATTTCGTCCTACGGGTTTGTACACAGTTTGTACACGCTTCATTGTGCACCCTGTCTATTTGATGAGCCCAGATTTCATGGAGTAGCACTGTACATTACCACACTGTACATATCAGAACAAGGTGAAGAGCTGAGTGTTCTTCACGTTCTCCATCCTATCATCTCTCTCTCTCCTTAATGGTGTGCAGGATGACTATCTGGATTGTTACGGAGACCCAGCGGTGACGGGGAAGATTGGTACAGATATTCAGGACAACAAATGCAGCTGGCTGGTTGTGCAGGCCTTGGACAGGGTCACTGACGAACAGAAGAAACTTCTGGAGGTAAGCAGCTATAGGAGCAGTACTGGCACCAGCATACCAACCAGAGTATTCATTGTAGCAAACACAGTAGATCTCTGCTAAGACGTACCCCACACATGGGCATCACAGGACAGTGCAGTTAGTATCCGTGGCACTTCTTATCCTAACATACTTCCGGGTGGATCAATAGCCCGTGCTCCGGACAATGTCCGCACTAAAGTATGTCTTATCACAGGACCGGCGGAGGCAGTTTTTCGATTGGTCCGCCATGCCATAGTTGCTTATACTCTGTGTGTATGGTAAGGCGGCAGAGACACATGCCCTCGCCAGCGGTGAACATGCGTTGGTGGCCAGACCAACCGTACCAGCTTCGCTGGTCCTGTATCACAGTACGTACTAATAGGCGATTCAGACTGCAGTCGACTATGACCGCGTTTCTACGACTCGGACACTTTTGATCGGCGATTGTACACTCATCCCAACCTGCCCAGATTAGGAGGGTTTTGCTGTGTTAGGGACCCTACATTATACTATACCAGACTTTGGATATAATAGTGTGTGTGTGCGTGTGTGACCTTCGACATGATGTGTGTTGACTGTGAAGTACAGACGTGTATGTCCCTTGGATATATAGTGTGTTGATTATTAAATGTACAAATTTTAAAGTCGCTTGTATGTACATTTCACTCTAGTATTTTCTGTCGGTGTCATGTGGCCTGGTTCACAGAAGTGCCTGCTTTGACTACAAGTCTGACTTTGCCAAGAGGGTAAATGAGAAACAAAGGGACAGATATGTTTTAGGTGGAAAGTTTGAGCAGCCATGGCTCCACTATGTATTTCATGGGAGCATGATGCAGCATGATCCCATGATACTCAACACCCAATGGTATACACACTAGGTCAAATCCAACGTAAAGTGCATACAATGTACATGTACAGTGTATTAGGCACCCTGTGCCCTGCAAAGTGCACACATGTATTTGAAACCCTGTACCCTGTGCAAAGTGCATACATGTATTTTAGCACCCAGTACCCTGCAAAGTGCATCATGTATTTGGCACCCTGTGTCCGACCGCACGGTAGTTGGTACTCTAGAAATTCTGTGGACGTTGCTAGAGAGTCGAGACCTGTGCAAACTCGATTTAGAAGGCTGCACTGCCTTCAGGACTTGTGTGTGCGCACATTGGGTGTGTGCGGGTGAGCCGTACACTGGTGTGTAGGTGTAAACTGTAAAGGCAACTTTGGGGGTGCAGCTTCGTTTCACTTCGTGTGTGATAGTGCAGCTACCAGGAACCATGCAGTGCCTGCAAGGAAAGGATGAGAGCTGGCCAGATTCCATGCTGCATGCTGGAATGTGTTTGCGGTTCATGAAGTGAGATCGTTCTTCCCTTCATGTTCCCTGTCGTCTCTTGTAGGAGAACTATGGGCGTGACGAGGAAGCCCGTATTGCCGCTATTAGGGCACTCTTCGACGATCTCAAGCTTGAACAGCTGTACCGGGAATACGAAGACACCATGTATGCCAAGTTGCAGGCAATGATAGCGGAGCAGTCAGCACTGCCACCAGTCATCTTTGGCGACTTTCTGCAGAAGTTGTTCAAGAGAAACAAATGAATGTAGAACGCATCGAGTGTGCCAGCTACCCACATCTAGTCAACATTGCATGTGTAGGTCGATTCTATTTATCTCTTTTTAGGATTAGATGTGTTTTATTTCACACCACGCTAGTTGCTCAAAAGGCTTTTTTAATTTCAATTTGGGTTTCGTATGGTGCACTAAGAGCACAACAAATTTTTAGGAAATTTTATATCAAACTTTTAGGATATTTTCTGACATCTCATCCACTCATTGTGGGCCGACTCTTTAGTGCTCACTTCTATTTAAAATATGTAGCACTCGTCCATGTTTCTCCTCATAAGTTATTGAAAACAGCACCTTCTTCTGTTCTTCTTGTGAAATGTTAGCTGTCAGCAGCATAACAGAGCTCTTCAAGGTGCTGCTATTGTTGTGAGCAGGGACTGCCTAACTCTATAGAAGTTGTGAGCATGATTTAATGGGGGAAGTCAGCGGAACGAAGTGCCAATCAATATTTTTGGGGGACCGTCTTCGTTGAAATGCCAATTTGTGTGACTCTAGAGTAGAGGGATCAGAAAGGTGCCCTGTAGATGAACGTGACCGGATTAGGGGTGTCAGGATTAGGGTATGGCGTTAACCAGTCCCACTGTGCCTCTGATCCAACAAGCTGATCTCTAGAGTGCCCGTATCCTGCACAGGTGCTGCTCAACGAAACACGCTTGTCCTGTGTCAGCGCCGTGATGTGGTGCAGCCCCTTAACTGCCAACCATAGCTGGCACGTGCATGCAGTGTGCTGACTAACGCATGAGATCACTGAACACAACTTCATTTGGGGGGAATACATCTGAATAGGCCACCAACATCGACTTGTATAGTACCGTAAAGTATCATCCCACCTTGATTTTACAGCAAGGGAAAGGAAAACCGCAGAGTGCAACGAAGTTTGTACGGCGTGAGATCTTCAGTGTACTAAGGTCACACAAGTCACACTTAGCAGGTGTTTGTGTGGATCTCGTGTCCACTCGAAGGTAAATTGATGAGTGCATGATTTGAAGCACTTGAACCTGTTGCTACATTGTTTGGCTCGTGGCAGCCATTATCATTTTTGATTCCGGAATGCTCATTCCAGCATTTGAGGTGGAATGATCATTCTCCTAAAAGAATCATTCTCAGCGGTTCCCATTCTGGAAGGTGACCAACCTAACGCACTTTTTTGACCAACCAAACGGGCGAGAATGATTCCGAGTGATTCCCATTTGGGAATGTGTGACCAACCAAACGTAACCTGAGTACGGATTGACTGCGCAACGTGCAATACAATAATGTTTACAAGGTTCGTGTTGTATGACCTACAGACAGGAGACCACCTCCACAATACGACCACGATAGGACGAGATTGTGGAGCGCTCTCGCTCTCGCGGTACTTTAGGGCAGAGGAGGGTGTTTCAAATAGGAACGGTAAAATTGTGTAGCCGATTATCAGTGTGGATTGTTCACCCAAAATAAGTTTGTGGAAGGTAGCTGGCATGTTGAATTTTGCTCTGGGGCCAGAGTCGATCGAAGTGAGCCACTCCTTTGTGTTGGCCCGTTGTCTCAAAGTTGCCCGATTTTTGTTTCAAATATTGGTGTCATAGAGGTTGCTCCAGTGCAGTGGAGTCTGCGTCAAGTTCACCCGGAGTTCTGAAATTAGGTAATTGATATCGCTCCACGACAGCCAGTACAGAGAAACAATAAGCCTTGTGTGTGCTTCCATTAGTTTTCCTGCCACCTGGGGGCATGGATCGCTTGAAAAAGAAGTTTCTTGACCTGAATTTGAACGAGTCTTGTTCAGCATATTGCTGAGTGCTGAAGGGTATGCCTCAAACTCTGATGAAGACGTCGACCTTAGCTGCAAGTGCAGCAAAGCGGGAGGCCACAAACTAAAGCTTGGTTCGTCGACAATGCTCTGCTTCAATTTCTAGCTGATTTATCTGCCCTTCGAGTGGACAAATTACATTTGAAAAGTCGCTCTGGGAAGCGACAATTTTAACGACGCGGAGGAAGTAGTACTATCCATGTGCACTGCACGTGCACCCAGGGTCGAAAGTTCGAAACTGTACTCCATTTGTGTATGTCACGCGTCGCATGTCGCAAAAGTTGAACTTTCTTCAGCTTCTGCGAGAGGTGCCTTGTAACTGTATGCAACAGGCAGTTTCTTGTCGCAGCTGTCCCAAACCGCGTGTCGCGTCGCAGCAAGTTGTAGTGTGAATCGACCTTTAGGGTCTTTCTCAGCTTGCCATGACTGTCAAGTGCAAAATTCCACACTCCACTTCTATGTTACCATGGGCTGTTGCCATGTAGTTTCGTAATATGCCTCGTAGCGTAGCAAGGAGCCACAGGTGTGTGTGTGATCTCCGGTAGCCTAATCAGTAGGGCACTGTCCCGGAAAGACAGGGGTACTGGGTTCAAGAGTCGAACCCCACTCGTGAATCCTTCTTATGCGACGTAATTCAACACTAAAATTTGATCATCGAGCTCCATGCTACATTGTAGTCTGGTTGATTTCGCTAGCACCAGATAATTATATCAACAGTGCAATAGTCCTTACTGGACAAGAAGAACAGTAAAGGAGGGGGAGTTTCTAGCAAGTGGTGTACGAGAATAGCTCAGCAAGTTATTTGCACTTCCACATAAAATCTGTCCCTCCAGAAACTTGCGGAGACATTTCGGAAATATCGCGGAAAAAGTTGCGAGATAAAATGCCACAAATTGCGGGGAATATTGCGGATTTTGTCAAATATTGCAGGATTACTGTGGTAAAATTGCGGCCGATTTTGGTACTTGAACTGTAGTGCGATGCGATGTACAGCATAAATAATAATTATTATGCACGTGTGCTGCGCTGTACTCGATTGCGACTGTTCAACTGCCTGACATGTCGACAGGAGCTTGCAAGACAGCTTTCCTCTATCCTTGGACAACACTCGACGCGAGCCTTATTTTTGGACTTGTCAGCCGCTGATTTGCCCAGAAACTTCTCCATTCTGGTTTCGATCTCACAAGTAAACTACTGACGAGCTTGAAGAACTAAACATCGAAAGAAGACTCGAATATCGCGGGTGCTTTTCGAAATATCGCGGTGCTTTTCAAGGATCAAGGACAGTTTTCTACAATATCGCGGATGATTTTTCAAATATCGCGGATATCGCGGACTTTTGTTCAAATCGCGGAAAACAACGCGGCCGCGGAATCGCAAGTTCCTGGAGGGACAGTAAAGTATTTCATGCTGGATATTCAAGGAACGGCGCTGGAATCCGGGTAAAATCCGGTACGGCCACAGCTATACCAGGGCAGTGTCACCGGACCTGCGTATAAACTATAAATGGGGCTTGATACGCCAGAATTGGGTTGATACATTTCAATAGTTTCAGTACATTTCAAAGGGAACCACACACATGAATGTGAATCATACAGTATGAATGGCATTCCTACATGTACATGCACATGTGCATGATATTTAAATGGTAACCATACATCAGGGCCGGAGGCAGGTTCCGCGGAGTGGTGCGGCTGAAGGGCCATCTTTAAGGGGGGTGTGGGGTGTCCCCCAGAATTTTTTTGGAATTTAGACGGCAAATCCTGCACTCTGGGCGACTCCCTATACAAAATCATACATCGAAACTTTTCTCCCCGGTTTTGGACGTTCCATGTGAACCGACTTTTTGGGAAGGTTTTTTTTTGGTACGGCCATGGCCGTACCGGCCGTACCAGTGGCGCCGGCCCTGTACATTAACCCACAGTTAATTGGGAACTCGTGGCCTGGCATGAGTAATACATGGATGTGGCAAATGGGATCGAGGCCTCTGGCCTCTGGTTGGTGGATCTGATTTATCCTCCCCCACCGTTTAGGAGCCGCATCTGAAGCCTGATCATGGGGTGGTGGCGTCCCACAGAAGCGGAAAGGTGGTTATTGACCAGGGAGTTGTACGACTCCTTGTTCTTGACCTGCCCGGTACGCGAATCCCGTCGAATTTATTTATTATACGTTTGAATGGTAGCCGTACAGTTGAATGTTAGCCATACAGTTGAATGGTGTCCATACATTTGAATGGTGTCCATACATTTGAATGGTGTCCATACATTTGAATGATGTCCATACATTTGAATGGTATCCATACATTTGAATGGCAGCCATACATTTGAATGGCAGCCATACATTTGAATGGCAACCATACATTTGAATGGCAGCCATACATTTGAATGGCAGCCATACATTTGAATGGCAGCCATACATTTGAATGGCAGCTATACATTTGAATGGTGTCCATACATTTGAATGGCAGCCATACATTTGAATGGCAGCCATACATTTGAATGGCAGCTATACATTTGAATGGCAGCTATACATTTGAATGGTGTCCATACATTTGAATGGCAGCTATACATTTGAATGGTGTCCATACATTTGAATGGTGTCCATACATTTGAATGGTGTCCATACATTTGAATGGTGTCCATACATTTGAATGGTAGCCATACATTTGAATGGTGCCCATACATTTGAATGGTGTCCATACATTTGAATGGTGTCCATACATTTGAATGGTAGCCATACATTTGAATGGTGTCCATACATTTGAATGGTAACCATACATTTGAATGGAAACCATACATTTGAATGGCAAGCATGCACTTGAATGGCAAACATACATTTGATTGGGAAGCATACATTTTATTGTCAAGCATACATTTGAATGGCAACCATAGATTTGAATGGAGTCATACATTCGGATGGTGTCCATACATTTGTATAGAGACCATACAATCAGATGGGGCCCATATAATGCACATAGGTATAAAAATAGCAGCCAAACCTGAAAAATTTGGGCATAGGTCTGTTGCTTTTCCCCATTTTTTGTGTTTTTTTAAAGAATTTTGGAATTTTCTTAGATGTATAAGATGACATCATTTATGCCCCCAACTATGATCATAAATTTCAAAGACTTTGTGAGTTTAAAGTTTCCCTCCCCGTTGACAGGTGTTCCGTTCCATTTTTGGGTCAGCAATGAGACAAGGACATGGGTATGTGGCCATTTTGAAGAAACTCTGGAAAGCCAAAATTTCATGCCGCAAAAATGGTCAAAGATTACAGACTCAACTCATGCTCCCTGCTCATTGCTGATTCATTGGGAATATTTAAATAATAAAAGGAGGGAAGCTGCTGGCGACTCCATGACGTGGCCTTCATCGACGTTCCAAGCGGCGTGTCGATAACCTGCACATGCGGGCTAATACATCTACGAATCAGTGAACAGCAATTTAGTTATACAGTCTGAACGCCACACTTGAAGTGTGTTGCTGCAATCTAGACGTTAGTACGTGTAAGGCGCATCTGCCTGCGAAGTACAGGTATGCCATCACAACAAACCC